CAAGCAAGCAGAGCTTATCTTCATTTTCCCGACTTTTCTGAACACATAAAAGATTCAATCTGGTTGCTCTAGTTTATGGATCTCATTACTGCTTATAAAAATTGCTCCTAAAATTTCAGATTTCAAAAGCGTTGGTTTAAAGCTGAACTCCAGGCAAACCGCTAAATACACCGATGGAATGTATATATACAGTTGCAAGAAAAAGTATGTGAACCCCTTGAGATTACGTGGAGTTTTGCATGAATTGGGCATAAAATGTGCTCTGAACGTCATCCAAGTCACAACAATAGAAGAACACAGTCTGCTGAACATAATACTACACAAACATTAGATGTTAGATCATTGTCCTGTTGCATCACCCATCCTCTGCGGAGCTTCAGTTGGCGGACAGATGGTCATACGTTTTCCTGCAAAATGTCTTGATAAACTCTGGAATTCATTTTCTCATCAATGACAACAATCCGTCCAGGCCCTGAGGCAGCAAAGCAGCCCCAAACCATGATGCTCCCTCCGCCATGTTTTACAGTGGGGATGAGGTTTTGATGTTGGTGTGCTGTGCCTTTTTTTTCTCTCCACACATAGTGTTGTGTGTTCTTCCCAAACAACTCAATCTTGCTTTCATCTGTCCACAGTATAGTTTGCCAGTAGTGCTGTGGAACATCCAGGTGCTGTTTTGCAAACGTGCTGCAATATTCTTTTTGGACAGCAATGGCTTCCTCCGTGGTGTCCTCCCATGTGCTCCATTCTTGTTTAATGTTTTCCTTATTGTAGATGTGTCAACAAAAATGTTAGCATGTGCCAGAGATTTCTGTAGGTCTTTAGCTGACACTCTGGGATTCTTCTTTACCTCATGCAGCATTCTGCGCTGTGCTCTTGCAGTCATTTTTACAGGACGACCACGCCTAGGGAGAGTAGCAACAGTGCTAAACTTTCTCCATTTGTAGACAGTCTGTCTTACCGTGGACACATGAACATCAAGGCTTTTGGAGATACTTTTGTGAACCTTTCCAGCTTCATGCAAGTCAACAATTCTTGATCGTAGGTCTTCTGAGAGCTCTTTTCTGCGAGGCATGGTTCACATCAGACAGTGCTTCTTGAAACCAGTAAACCCAAAACAGGTGTGTGTTTTTTAAGGGCAGGACAGCTGTCAGCAACACATCCAATATCATCACACTGATTGGAGTCAAGGTTGGCTCACTCCTGGCTCCAATTAGCTCTGGGAGAAGTCATTAAGCTAGGGCCTCACATACTTTTTCCTCCCTGCACTGTGAATGTTTACATGGTATGTGCAATTAAACCATGGCAACATCTAATGTTTGTGTAGTATTATGTTCAGCAGACTGTGTTCTTCTATTGTTGTGACTTAGATGACGTTCAGAGCACATTTTTATTCCCAATTCATGCAAAACTCCACATAATCCCAAGGGCTTCACATACTTTTTCTTGCAACTGTAAGAGCTGTTTGACCTGCCAGTGAATGTGTATTTCTGCCCATCCAGTCCTGAGATTTACACAGCTCTGCGACATAGACCTGAACGTTCTCTGTTGCAGTTCCCTTTCACACAAAAGTACTTTAACCCTGTGACCAGATAGTAAAAGCATTGTCCTGATGAACTCATGTCTGTGCCCCTGCTCTCTCCTTCTATCAGTATGCCCCTTGCACTGCTTCACACCTAACTAGCTCCTTCTGTGCTGCTTTTCCCTGAGCTCTGTTATACAAACTGGGTAGTAAACCTTTGAAGAGACTGATCAGTCAAATTTAGATACTTATGCTGCTATGATACGATGTATAATTAAATACAAAGCTGCATTGGTTTGTGCTTTTCAGCTATAAAGAGAGATTTATCACTGAAAACTATTATATGTAATGCCACCTAAAGGTATGCAGTCTGCAAGCACACTGGGAGCAAATCAAATGCCTGGTACTTCCAGGTATGAGGAGCATGTAATTGGCCACTCAGTTACCCAGAGCTTTCACATGGGAGAGAGTCCTTAGCCTTGTGTTGAGGCTTACATAGGATTTTCTCTTCTTGCTTCCAGTTGCTGAATGAAGCAGTGGGAAAGCAAAGGGAAGAAGAGTATGTGCAGCTTGAGAGGCCTGTTGTCCTGTCCTGCATGGGCAAAGCATGAGGACCACATTAAACCTGGATGCAATCAGGGATAGGACTTGACTTTGCTGTGACTTCATAGCTGTGGCACACTTCCTGCCCCTACAAGGTCCAATGGGGCACTTTAAAAGCCAATAGAGAGCAGCCCCATCAGGAATGTAATGGTGGTGGTAAGGCTGGGTGCCTGGATTAGGGGATCTAGTGCCACACACAAGTACACTCACTGGCCACTTTAATAGGTACACCTTGCTGCCTGGTGTTAGCTTATGCTGCTGTAGCCCATCTACTTCAAGGTTCAACGTGTTGTGCGATTACAGATGGTATTCTGCATACCTTGGTAGTAACGAGTGGTTATTGGAGTTACTATTGCCTTTCTATCATCTCCAACCAGTCTGCCCATTCTCCTCTGACATCAACAAGGCATTTTCGTCCACACAACTGCCACTCAATTTACACAGCACATTACATATATATTGTACATTCACATCGTCCCTAACCCTCAAGGGGCGTACAATCTAAGGTCCCTAACTTACATTCATACATACACATACTAGGGACAATTTAGACAGGATCCAATTAACCTACCAGCATGTCTTTGGAGTGTGGGAGGAAACTGGAGTACCCTGAGGAAACCCACGCACTCACAGGGAGAACATGCAAACTCCAGGCTGGTGGTGCCGGGTTTCGGATTCGAACCAACGACCAGTACTGCCAGGCAGAAGTGCAAACCATTTAGCCACTGTGCTGCCCCATTGGATAGTTTGTCTTTTTTTGGACCATTCTCTGTAAACCCTAAAGATGGTTGAGCGTGAAAATCTCAGAGGTTTTTGAAATACTCAGACCAGTCCGTCTGGCACCAGCAACCATGCCACATTCAAAGTCACTTAAATCCCCTTTCTTCCCCATTCTGATGCTCGGTTTGAACTTCAGCAATTCGTCTTCACCACATCTAGATGCCTAAATGCATTGAGTTGCTGCCGTGTGATTGGCTGATTAGCAATTTGTGTTACCAAGCCATTGAACAGGTGTTCCTAATAAAGTGGCCGGTGAGTGTGTATTTGGGCATAATTGAAGGTATGTGCAAGAACCTTGAGATTCCTGCTCTTAAAGTGGACCTATCAAAATATACTGTATATATCGATTCACTTTAAAGTGATTTGTAAAGGTTACATTTTTTAAAAATAACAAACATGTCATAGTTACCTGGTCTGTGCAATGGTTTTGTGCAGAGCAACCCCGATCCTCCTCTTCTGGGGTGCCCCACCGGTGCTCTCAGCTACTCCCCCCTGCTGAGGGCCCTTATAGTAAGTTGCTTGCTTTTGGGGGCACACATGTGGACTCGGTCCTGGGCCGTGCTCTGTTTGTCCATTAACACACAGCTTGGCCCCGCCCGCTGCTCTCTGCTCACTGGCTGTGATTGAGAGCAGAAGTAGCCAATGGTTCCCACTGCTGTCTCTGAGTCTATGAGGAGGGAGAGAGGGGAGAGAAACGCAGCTTTCATGCACAACGTTGGATCGGGATTGGGCTCAAGTTAGTATAAGGAGGAGCTGGGGGGGGGGAATGCACACAGATTATTTTTCATCTTAATTCTTGAGAATTCATTAAGGTAAAACCCGTCAGCCTCTAGAACCTCTGTAAGAATATAAGGGCATTTGGTAGCATTGACTGTGTAAGTTATTTTATTGTAAGTGCATGGAAGGAAGTGCCGAAACCAGAACATAGAAATTCCAGATGTCGTACAACACGGGTGTCAAATTGGCGGCCCTCCAAATGTTGCCAAACTACAAGTCCCATGAGGCATTGCAAGACTGACAGTTACAAGCATGACTCCCAAAGGCAGAGGCATGATGGGACTTGTAGTTTCGCAACAACTGGAGGGCCACCAGTTTGACACCCCTACCGTAAAAGACAAAACATTTGAGGGGTTCCAGTACATATGTAATGACTATAAAGAAACCACACATTTTTAAAGAATGAGCATATGTATATAATTTTATTGTAAGGCTCCATGTACGCTGGACACTTCTGAACGGTAGAAACTGACTGCTGGAAAACATAGGTTAAAAAAAGTCTGTTTAGCCGTGTTTGCATAACGCATTTATGTGCGTTTGTGTTTAGAAGGCTTTTTTAAAGATAAGCACAGGAGAACCTCCCAAATGCCAAGAATGAACTGAAAAGTGTTAAATTATTAACTATTTCCGACTGCTTCAGAGAAATACAGAGAGTAGAAGCAGAGACACAGCAGTATGTGTTGAGATTAGCTTAGGTGTGAGTTGCTCATTAACATTTCTTTTGTTTCCAAGGGTGGGAAAGGTGTCTGGTGGAGGGAGTCATTAAGGTCACCTGGCAGGGGGTCTTCATGAGGAATTTGAGGTGTGAATGGTCATTAACAGATCTTTTGTTTCCAAGGGTGGGAGAGGTCTGAGGTGTGAATTGGTCATTATAATGTATGACAAGCTTGGTAGGAACATCCTGTGTTCAGTGTTTTGTCCATTTGAGTACCTTGAAAACTCTTTGCATGCATTTTTCATGATGAAAAAAGGCTCTGGACAGCATCGGGAACAGGAAGAGTTAAAACAAATTTGCAAACGATTATAAACGCGATTTGCCGCATTTAGAAGCGTTTTAAACACTGATAAAATCAACTGCTGAACGCACGTTTTCTGTGTTCAAAAAAACGACTGTAAACTCAAATGCCTGTAAATGACTGTAAAGGAAGATGTATACATGGACACATAGGAAAACATTAGGGAGAGTTCAGGGGCTGCTGAAAAAAAATGCAGAAAAGCTCCTAAACGTGAGTTTATCAGCTGCAGTGTACATGAGCTCTAAGTGACATACTTTTTCCCTTTTATTTCTCTTTCTGAATTAAATTTGTGTTTCTTCTTCTAGGGAAGGAAACCTGACTAGACACTATTACCTAAAAACATCACCAACCATTACATGTGGTCCTCTGTGGATGTGACGGTAGGACTCTACACCTCCCTGTGTCAGTACTTTGACGGCACTGAGATGAGATGGAAGACGGAAGGACTCGTACCCCTGGAGGACACCCGCTCTGACCAGGCTGTGTGTCTGACCCAGCATCTCACCGCCTTTGGTGCCAGCCTCTTCGTCCCACCACACTCCGTCAACTTTATCTACCCTGTAAGTAGAGGCTGAACTCTCATCTGGTAGTCCATGATCTGCTTTACAAACTGTTGTATTGTTGACACATTATGTAGTTGATTCTAGAGTATAGTAAAAAAAAAATTGCTATTGGTCCTTCCTTCTCAGTAACGTCCGGATATCCCGACCACCCTGACACGTTCACATTCGCTTGAGGCTGATTTTGGTTTGAAAGTGTTTCTTAGACAAGTCGGCTCTTTCGTTGTTTGCTATATCAAACCACTTTCTGTGGGAGTGCAGTCTGTCGTCTTCAACATGATCCAAAGAACACTCATTATGATGGCTAAAATGTGCCACTCCCCTCAAATAACTCGCGAACTGTTGGTGCTACATAATTTTCGGTTTACGAATGAAAATCCATTGAAAATAATGCCTCTGTTTATGAATTCTTTTTACAATACGAACATATTAATTTGTTTTCAATGCATTTACAAATTATTTTTTAATCATGTCCCTGTACAGTACTATGCCTCTATAAAGAGTTTTGAACAGATAAGACTTTTTTTTTACTTTTTTTTTTTACCTCCGGAACGGATTAATTGCTTTTCAATGCATTTGTGAATTCATTTTTGATCATGTCCCTGTACAGTATTTATGCCTTTAAAGTGCATTTTATGAAGCGTTTTGAACAGATAAGACTTTTTTTGACCTTTTTTCTGACCTCTGGAACGGATTAATTGGTTTTCAGTGCATTTACGAATTATTTTTTAATCATGTCCCTGTACAGTATTTAAGCCTTTAAAGTGCACTTTATAAAGAGTTTTGAACAGAAGACTTTTTTTGACTTTTTTCTGACCTCTGCAACGGATTAATTGCTTTTCATTGCATTTATGAATTCATTTTTGATCATGTCCCTGTACAGTATTTATGCCTTTAAAGTGCACTTTATAAAGCGTTTTGAACAGATAAGACTTTTTTTGACCTTTTTCTGACCTCCGGAACGGATTAATTGCTTTTCAGTGCATTTACGAATTATTTTTTAATCATGTCCCTGTACAGTATTTAAGCCTTTAAAGTGCACTTTATAAAGAGTTTTGAACAGAAGACTTTTTTTTACTTTTTTCTGACCTCTGCAACGGATTAATTGCTTTTCATGCATTTATGAATTCATTTTTTTATCATGTCCCTGTACAGTATTTATGCCTTTAAAGTGCACTTTATAAAACGTTTTGAACAGATAAGACTTTTTTTTACTTTTTTCTGACCTCTGTAACGGATTAATTGCTTTTCAGTGCATTTACGAATTATTTTTTAATCATGTCCCTGTACAGTATTTATGCCTTTAAAGTGCTCTTTATAAAGAGTTTTGAACAGATAAAAGACTTTTTTTTTTACTTTTTTCTGACCTCCGGAACGGATTAATTGCTTTTCAGTGCATTCCTATGGGAAACTGCATTTCGGTTTACGAATTTTCCACAATATGAAAAGTCCCGCAGAATGAATTAAATTCATAAACCGAGGTACGCCTGTAATAATAATAAACAGGAGCACTCAGTTTTATGAACACATCGAAATTCACTTATATCTCTTTCCACAGCCTCCGCATCCTGGAATCAATTACATTGTGCTTCTGACGTGTGCCGTCTGCTTCGCCACCTACTCTGTAGCCACCATTATCGTCCACAAACTAGACCTTCTGGATGTCAGCAAGGCCGGGGTCATACCGTTCTGCGGGAAGGCTGGTGTCTATAAATATGAAGTCCTGGTGAAGACGGGCTGGGGGCGCGGATCAGGTGAGTGAGACTATATAATTATATAACATGGATTTCTGAATAAATGAACATAAACATGTCTTTGGGTTCAACTTTAAAATGATATGAACCGCCTCCCTCCTGCCATATAAGGAAATGCCGGGCTGGTGGCGGCTCTCTCGTTCTGGGAGGATGTCTTATGACATCCTGCAACTCTAACAGCGCATGCGCGCCCCCCGCAGGCGCGGTGATCAGTGGTGCGCTGTGTCACTGGGACACAGCGGATCAGAGCCAATGATACAGGCTTTGTCATGTGATCCGCTGTGTCCAATCACAGCTGATCGCATGTAAACAAGAAATGCTGGTTATCGGCAGTCCTCAGAGGGGGACATCTACACTGATCATCAGGGCACTTCTTGGGAAATGACAGATGTCCTGTCTAGTTGTGTTTCCCCAAGATCTGTCAGTGTGTCCAGCAATACCCAGATGTCACTTTCTATGTGGACACTTTTATACTCTGAAAAAGTTATTTTGAACAAATGGTGTAGCGCTGTAAATACTAAAATACCGTATTGTCAAATCATAATATAAATCATATTAAAGTGAAAGAATATTAATAAACCTCGTGTATCTTTATTACCTTCATTAAAGGTGAAATACATTCCAAAGCAAATATAAAATCAAAGTGATCAATTATAAAACCGTGACATTTATCAATTGATATAAATAAATACATTTTAAAAAAAAAGTCCCAAGAAGTGAAAAAAAATAATTGTAGCACAAAAAAAATATAATATAAAAATCCAGATTTTTCAATTTCTTCAACTTTTATATTCCCACTTTTTGTTGCGTGCTCATATTTATCCACTTCCATACCGGGCACTTTTGCCTCCTTCCTGCCCAGGCCATTTTTCAGGTTTCAGCGCTCTCACACTTTGAATGACAATTGCGCGGTCGTACAATATTGTACCCAAACTAAAATTTTATCATTTTCTTCACACAACTAGAGATTTCTTTTGGTGGTTTTTAATCATTGCTGGTGTTTTTATTTTTTGCTAAATTAACAAAAAAAGACCAAAACTTTTGAAAAAAAACACGTTTTTCTTTGTTTCTGTTATAAAAGTTTGCAAATAAATAATTGTTCTTAATAAATTTAGGCCGAGATGTATTCTGCTACATGTCTTTGGTGAAAATAACCCAAATTAGGATGTATTATTTAGTTTGTAGGAAAGTTATAGAGTTCACAAACTATGGTATAGATCTAAATATTGATCAATCCTGAAGTACTGACAGCCAATCTAATTTCTTGAGGTCCAAGAATGTCAGAACAGTACAGTACAGATATATCCCCCAAATGTCAGGACAGTACAGATATCTCCCAAATTACCCCTTTTTGCAAAGTAGACAGTCCGACGTACTTCATAAGAGGAATGGCGAGTTTTTTGAAGTTGTATTTTTTTGTCATAATTTTTCAGAAAATGAAAACATTTTAAAAATTATTTTCACTATTTTTTTTTTTACATATTGTCACCAGTGCAGTACAGCGTCATCATATAACTGGCATGGCGGTGATCAGGGACACTGACTGGTGACAGTATGAAAAAAAAAAAAATATATATATATATATTTTTTTTTATTTTTAATTTTTTATTCCTTTTTTTTCTTTTTTAAGATTTTTTTTTCATATTTCACTTTGACCAAAATAGTACAGTGTTACCATAGTAACATTGTACTACTTTGGGGAAGTGATCAGTATTTTTTTTTTTTTTTCCACACAATTTGCTTATAGCAAAGAATTACTTTGCGATAAGCAAGCATTTATCTAAATGATATTGATTCATTCAGGGTTTTTTTTTTGTGCTTAGCTGTGATTTGACCACAGCTAATCACATGACATGTGCATGTGATCGCTGTGACCATTCAAAGCTAGACACTAGTATACAATGGATGGCATGAATGAAGCCATCCATTGCATACAACTGTCATGTGATCACAGCAGGTCACATGGTACTGGCAACGGGGGCCAGTACTCAGATCTGTCATCGACCGTGTCCGAGGTACACGGCCGGTGACAGATCACGCAGCTCTGCAAGCGCGCAAACTGCGCATGCCCGGGACCATATGGATTCCGGGTGGATGCACCATATGGCATCCACCCGGAAATCTAAAGCATTTTTCCGGCCGCCAAACGGCTATTGACCAGGCGGCTAATGGTTATGGTGCCAATTATATCCATCACCTTCTAGTGTGTGCGCTCCCCCAAAAATTTGACCCTCAAGGAGTCAAAGAGCAATCAATATCCCCGGATGATCCCTGGTTGGATGGATCTCTCCCTTTAAGTGGACACAGGAACAGCTCCCACCGAAATCATATAATTGTTCAAACACATCTTTAGGGGGTCTTCAAATGGTTCAAAAAGAAGTCAAAGATAGAACTTCCATAGTGTAGTAATTAGATATTTATTAAAAAAAAATCAAAAACCGCCAAATGGCTCCCAGACCCAGCTGGCATGTACTGTGTAACCCACAGTCAGGTGTACATACAAGGAGTCCCAAGATGGCGATTACCGTCCAAACGTAATGACATCTTCACGCTGTATTCCTACGCGTTACATCACGCTAACACGTGACTTCTTCTTTCTTACTCTGACTGTCCCTATTTTCTTTCTTCCTGCTTTTCAGGCACCACAGCCCACGTAGGTATCAGCTTATATGGAGTGGATAATAAAAGTGGACACAGACATCTGGATGGTGAGAATACTTTCCACCGAAACAGCGTGGATATCTTTCAGATTGCAACAGAGAAGAGCCTGGGGAATGTGTGGAAGATCCGTTTGTGGCATGATAACAAAGGTATAAATTCAATCACATGTACAAGATATTTGTAAAACGAAATCTTATTGCTACATTTATTTTGTGTTCAGCTACCGCTACCCTCCTCCACCTCCCCAATGTGAATATTCTAGGAATATGACATCCCAGAAAGTGTCAGTTTCTTAGCTCAGCCGCTTCCTTCGTTTCACATCACAGCCCTCTCCTTTACTGAGAATGTTAAATTGCCGCCTGTGCTGGTCCAGCTCCTCTTCTCCTCCCTACATAACTGGTTATGTAGCTGCCGATTTTTTACACAATTTTTACGTATTATTTAGCACTGCTATTACTTTCTAATATAGTAGAGGGTGTTACTACACTAAACCACACTGCACAAATAGTTTTTAGTTTCTGGTGTGTTGAAATATATGAGAGTCGCATTAGGCGCATAGCTGTTGACACAGGGAGTCTTTCGATTTTTTTCTCACTATTGTAGTTCAGTGACTCACAGGTAATGTGAGTATAGACAAAGGTATATATCACATTTTTGTTTTTCCAATTAGCATCTCACAAGGTCTGTATGTTTTTTTTTGGTCATTAGATAGGCATTGTCCACTGTTGTCACCATCACCCCTCCCTGAGAAATGCCATGCAGCCATTGCTGGAGTGCCTGTACACAGAAAGTGGCTGAAAAATGGCTGCAGGAGAACAATAGCACTGAGTTTATTTAAGAAACGCAGTTGTTTATGATCCCCAGAAAACTATATGTTAACTACTTGCCACTCAGCCACTGTAGATATACGGCGGCAGGGCGGCACTCACAGGCAAAACCGCGTTTTAAACCGTGTGTTTTGTAAACAAATAGGGGGCGCGCGCGAGGCGCGCCGTCACCCTATCTGTCCCCCTATCTGTCCCGCGGATCACCGCCACAGATGTCAGTCGCCGAGTCACAGCCGCTCCTTAGCGGCTGTGTCCCGGCGATCGGCGGCAAACAGTGACAGAGAGCACAGCTGCAGTAGCTGTGCTGTCTGCAACTTCCCTGTCAGCTCGAGGATGAGCTGATCGAGAAAGAACAGTTTCTCTTTCTCGATCAGCCTTGTCCCGCCCAGTACACACCCCCGCCCCCTAGTAAAACACTCCCCTCACTCCTATAACCCTTCCCTGCAAAATAAAGTTAACCCCTTCCTCCCCATTGCCATTAGTACAGTGTCAGTGGTTTTTTTTTTTGCACTGATCACTGTATTAGTGTTTTTGGGGACGTCAGTGACCCCAAGTCAGTACCCCCCAATGTCAGAATGTCCGCCGCAGTCCCACAGTCCCGCCATAAGTCGATTCCATAAGTCCCTGATCGCCGCCATAATTCACTGATCGCCGCCGTTATTAGTATAAAAAAAAACCTAAAAATCCCAGTATCTTTCCCGCCATTTGTAAATGCTATAACTTTCACGTAAACCAATTAATTTACACGTATTGGTTTTTTTTTTTAGCAAAGACATGTCGCAGAATGCATTTTGGCAGAAATTTATGACTAAATTTGATTTTTGCATTTTTTTTTTACTGGACATATATAGCAAAAAGGCCAAAATATTGTTTTTTTTTCCTCAAAATTGTCAGCCTTTTTTTTTTATAGCACAAAAAATAAAAACCGCACAGGCGATCAAATACCACCGAAAGAAAACTCAATTTGTGGGGAAAAAAAAGAATGTAAATTTCATTTATGTACCATATTGCATGACCGCGCAATTGTCCGTTAAACTAGCGCAGCGCTGTATAGCAGAAAAATGGCGTAAATTGCAGTATCTATACCATAGTTTGTAGACGCTATAACTTCCACACAAAGCAATCAATATACACTTATTGGGAATTTTTTTTTTACCAAAAACATGGAGCAGAATACATTTTGGCCTAAATTTATAACCAACTTTGAGTTTACTATATATTTTTTATAGCTGAAAGTAAAAAATATTGTTTTTCTTCAACATTTTTGGCCTTTTTTTTGTTTATAGCGTGAAAAATAAAAAGTGCACAGGTGATCAAATTACACCGAAAGAAAGCTCTATTTGTGTGAAAACAAGGACGTAAATTTCGTTTGGGTGCAGCATTGCATGACCGCGCAATTATCAGTTGAACCAGTGCAGTGCCGAGTGGCAAAAAGAGGCCTGGTCATTAAGGGGGGTAAATCCTCTGGAGCTCAAGTGGTTAATCCATTAGGGCAGGGATGGGCAGCTGTGGCCCTCCAGCTGTTGGTGAACTACAAGTCCCATCATGCCTCTGCCTTTGGGAGTCATGCTTGTAACTGTCAGTTTTGCAATGCCTCATGGGACTTGTAGTTCTACAACAGCTGGAGGGCCACAGTTGCCCACCCCTGCATTAGGGTTTACCTATAATGATGTTCATAATCATTTTATACTGTGTTCATGATGTTTTGGAATTACAATTCTGATATTTCTGTGCTGGTCTCAGGGCTCAGTCCATCTTGGTATGTCCAGCATGTCATCATCCGAGACCTGCAGAGCAGCAAGAACTACTTCTTCTTGGTCAATGATTGGCTGTCTGTAGGTCAGGAGGAAAGTGGCCGGCGGGTGGAGAAGGAAATCTTTGCTGCCAGTGAGTGATCTTTACATGACTGTTAGATGGCTCGTGTTCCTTTTTCTGGATGCACACTGACAACATGTTTCCATTTCTGCCTGTTAAGGTGAGACAGAGCTGAAGAGATTCTCTCGGATTTTTGTGGCAGAACTGCAGAGAGGCATTTCGGAGAAACACGTCTGGCTCTCTATGTGGGACCGCCCTCCGCGTAGCCGCTTCACCCGCGTCCAGAGGGCCACCTGTTGTGCTGTTCTTATCTTCCTCTTCCTGTGTGCCAATACAGTGTGGTACGGTGTTGTGGGAGATCGCAATCATGGGTGGGTGTAGCTCTCTCTCTTTAAGCTGCGTGGATAGCATCTAATACAGCCTTTCTCAATCTTTTCAACACTTGAAATGACTTTCTGGTCTTGGGGAACCCCTGCTAAATTTTACTGTATCTACAACTCATGATACATTAGTGTAATGTCAGTGGGAAGAAAAGTTCTTACATCTGTGGTCATTGGAAGAAATTACCCTCTTACCCCCGGTTCACATCTGTGTGGGTGGTGCCGCTGCGGATTCGCAAGAAAATCCACCACCCGCCCAGAGAATTGCAGATCCGCGGGACGGTGATATTAGTTCTAACGGCACGCCGCCCGCACTGGAAAACTCAACCGTACTGGGAACCGAGATTTCCGTGCGGGCTGCGTTTTCCAAAGAAGTGCAGGAACTTCTTCCCTGAGTGTCACTGGCACGGGAGTCCATTCACATGAATGGGCTCTCGTTCCCGTGCAAAACGCTGCCCACACGGCCGCATAGATGTGAACTGGGGGTCACAGAGAGCTAAAAAGATCAATGGTGTCAGTGGGAACCAGGGTGGATTTGATTTAAATCAAACTGATTTAAATCACGATTTAAATCACAATTTAAATTACTAGTCAGTAAGGCTTGATTTAAATCCTAGTTTTCTACATAAAGACTCATTCTTGCTGGTATAACTTTAATATGCAAGTAGATGAAGATTTTTAGAATAACAACTTTTCATATTAGTTTTTTTATCCCCAGTTTAATAGGTTAATCATTCATATTTGGACAACTTTTCTGTTGTACTTAAGAAGGAGAAAAATAATCATTCCCTTAATAATAACAATTTAAATAGATTTATTTTTGGCTAAACAAAATCTATATATTTTAAGAAACTTAGACTGTCAGCCCCTTCCTCCTCACATTTAGTTTCACTTTCTTCTTGTGCAGATCTATTCCACTCCAAACAATCAGAAAAATATTGTTTCTATTCTATTCACTGAACTTGAACCTTAGCACTGAAGGGGTTGATTCTGTATTCATAGGTTTGTAGAAGTTAGGATGAAGGTCTTTTTCTTAACTCTGTTCATGTTATAACATTTTTGCTGTGAAGAAGAGGCATGTGATCTCCGCTGAGTCAAATTCAGTTTTGAGAACTGCAAAAGTAAACCAACATCTGTGATAATATCTTGTAGGCAGAGAAACTGCCCAATAATCTTACAAAAACCTCTGGAAGAGCATGACATTGTGAATGGATTCATGGAATTTATTTACCAAAAAAATTAAACATATACAGCCTTATTCTACATAATTAAAAAACTAATCTTTATTGCATGATGGAATAACCTTTGGATGGTAATATATTTTCCTCAAAAAGCATTTTATTTAAGAAAATCGATTTAAATAAAAAAAAATCCGATTTAAATAAAAAAAATCCGATTTTTTTTTTGATTTTTTTAAAAAAAATCATTGATTTTTATCCACCCTGGTGGGAACCTATCTAAGAGGCAGAAATTGCCCATTGCTCAAGGAATCCTTAGAAACCTCTGGAGGAACCCTAGCATTCCATAGAACTCTGGTTGAGAAACCCTGATCTAATAAATCATTCCAGTTTTTAGGATGTTTTTTATTGTTGGGTGCTTTCCTAGCCACCTATATTAAAGCTGTCATGGGAGAAATATGGGGCTGTCATGGCCAGCTTGCTTAAAATGCTGCTTGCGTAGTTAATATGTTGACACAGTGGCTTCACTACCCTCAGAGTCACCAACCTGTAAATGTTAGAGGTCACCGGCCTGTTTGTTTTGGGTCAGGACACCAAGCATTGGACTATGAGGGACAATATGACATCCAGGCAACAAACATCTTCAGAGGTAGAGGTCAGCAATAGCAGTCTTCATGTTTTTCTCTTGACAGCTGGACTATAAGAAAAAAATCTAACTTTGTTTAAAGCTACTTTCACACTGAGGAGTTTTTTAAGCATTTTTGTGTTAACAAAAGCACCTAAAAAGCTCAAGAAAAATGCTTCCCTGTGTATGTGAATGTATATCTATGTATGTTTTCACACTGAGGCTTTGCGCTTGCGGTGCGGTGTAAAAACTCCTGCTTGCAGCATCTTTGGGGCATGTTTGGTGAGTTCAAAGAAAACGCCCCAAAAAAGCCTCTTCCCATTGAAATCCTCTGAGAAGCATTTTTGGTGCAGTTTTTAAGTCACGTGTCCTTTAACCACTTCCCGTCCGGCCCATGTATATAAACGGCCGGACGGGAGTAGTGCAGAGGCTGGTGGCCATTTATAAACGGCCTCCCCGCTCCCTGGGAGCACGCAGCACCGCGATCCGGTGCCCGTTGTGTCCTCCGGACACAGTGGAACACCGATTGTTGTACGGGACCTCCCGAAGTCCCGATCATGTGATCACTGATTGGCCAATCAGTGATCACATGAAGTGTAGTAAGCAAGATGTCACTTCTGACATCATTGCTTACTGCTAGTGAAATCTGTGAATGATCACAGAGGTCACATGGTACAGGGATATTCACAACAGCCTTGTACCATGTGACAAGCTGTGACCAATCACAGTTCACACAGTAGTTCTCAATGGCTGCAAGAATGCAGCCAGAGAGAAGGAGAAATTATTGATTTTACAGCCTTTATGGGTGTAAAAGCAATCAGTGTGTAAAAAAAAAAAAAAAAAAAAAAAATCTTCATCACCCCCCACAAGTAGTACAGTGTCACTATGGTGACACTGTACTGCTAGCGTGACAGTATAAAAAAAAAACCAAAAGAAACATAATATAAAAAAATAAAATAAACATGTAAAAAGTGTCCGGATTTGAAGTGGTTAAAAAACGCTCAGCACGGTAAAAACGCCTATGCGTTTTTGCTGTGTTCTTGCGGCGGATCAGTGTGAAAGTAGCCTTATGCCCTGTGATAGTGTGGATTTGCCCAGAGCTGTCATATGCTCTTTCATACAGAGAAGTAGCAGGCATTTCCTTTGGGTCCTACCACAGATGCAAATATCTACTGCACTCAAGACCTTACTGCCTTAAAGGAAACCAGTCACCCTTGGGCTGAATCTGGAAATTCCATTGTAAACTAATAATAATTATTGTTCAATTACATTTTTACAATGAGTGATGTTGGTTGTAATACTAAGTCATCCTGCAATCCCTTTCCTTTTCTTGTCGTACTAAATAAAGAACCAGTTTTTCCCTCCTACAGGGATGGTGCAGTGTCTCAGGTGGTTCCTCTCAGTGTGGACTCCGTGGCTGTAGGGTTGGTGACCAGCATCTTAGTCTATCCCATCTACCTGTTCATCCACTTTCTGTTCAGGCGAGCTCGCAGCAAGGTGAGTCCACTGGTGTCTACCAGTAGAGGTGGCATTTAATTTTTCTCTCTCGCATATCACCGCATTGTCTATATTGTGTTCTTTCTTCCCATAGACCTGTATCAGGCCATCCCTCACATACTTCGATCAGAACTCCCTAGAAATCGATAACTACCTGGACAATGTGATGATGGAGAGTTCCTTTATGACATATACAGGGATACATGGAGAGGTGAGGATGGGCTTCAAAATATTTGTACACTATACTTTCCCTTTAAAGTGGACCTATACTTAACTGCTAAAGTTTGGCTGTGTAACAGGGATAGAACAGTTAAATGTCACAAAGCTAATGAATAAAAACAATTATGCCTTTGATGTAGAATTCCTCTTACCTTTCCTGATTAGAAGCAGTAGACCACGCTGGTGACAGTGTCTGGACACCCTACGTTCCAGCCTCACAGAAGCGTGTCGGGAGTTTAATAGGCATCCTGATTCTGATGACTGAATTATATTAATGTTGTCACCAGAGGACAGGGTCTAGGAACAGGAAGAGCTGTTTTGAAAAGTCATTGCAATGAATGAAAAAGTGGACCTGGGCAAAAAAATGTCCATAACCAACTTGTTTCTCATGGAGGTTCAGATTGCTGGTTTCTATATTCCCATTAATGACATTAAGTTGGGGTCATCGGTGTAAACACTTCCAAAATTGTAAAGTTTTTCTGATGTGGTGATATCTCTTTCATCTTCTTCATAGGGATTTTCTGACCAGACCAAAACAGAAATAATTGTGGATGACACAAAGGGGTGAGTTCCTGGACTTGTATTTCTCTGGATGTTAGTCTTCAGGTTTCAGTGCTTCTTTGTTCTAATTTATTTACCTATGTCAAAATGTCCACAGGGTTCAGGGATGTCAACCTCCCGAAGTGAAATTTACTGACACGAGAAACAAAATTTACTGACAGCCAAAACATTTTTGCTGACAGTTCAAAAAGTTAGCCAAAATGATCGGAAATGCCAGGAATTCTGATGTGGGAGGGACTCTGATGACCATAGACCACCTTCTGCAGAGCGAATACACGTAGGTAATGGAGGGTTACGGATATAAAGGGGAACCCTTATGATCGGTGTCTCCACTTACCTTCGTGTATTCACTCTGCAGAAGGTGATCTACGGTCACCAGAGTCCCCCCTCACATCACCGACCCCCCCCCCCCCCTTCTCCACAGACTTTGTGTGGCCTGGGTGGCTGGAGCTGTCATTGACCGGCCTCCTTCATAAGACTGCTCAGGTGCAAGGCAGTGCTTCTTGATCTTCCATCTGGCCTCCAGTCCTCCTCTTTCCAGTGCTCCAGCCACTAAGGGCATGCTTAGTCAGACTACGCTATGGGTCCTCCTCTGCTCCTTTATTCTCATCATCCCCTCCCATTCCTCCTGGCTTCCCCTTCTACAATTTGTGAAAGGCGCCAAGCAGGCACCATGATGACGCGCCCGCCCAGGCTGCTCCCTGCCCGAGTCCTGTGTGCATGCAGTTCTGAAGGTGGCCTGTGGCCATATTTTTAAGGGCAGCCAGTGTCCATAACAGACATTTATGGGCAGTGTAAAATTGATTTCATAACCTCCTATCTTAATTGTACAGTACAGGACACAAGCAACTTATTCACATACCATTGGTTGAGCAAGTTGCCGGTGTCCTGTACTGTACAGTACTCCAAGATATGAACATTTAAAGGTAAGTCAAAATTCCTTTTTTTATTCTGATTTCTTATATTCAGTAGCTGTTCATTTTTATGTTGTGACATTAACAGTCTTAGTTTAGTGTCATACATCATTCTGATCTGTGTGTTGATGTTTTCAGTGTTGTTTGCAACCATGTGTGCCATTCTGTATCAGTAAAAACATATTCAACCATTAATAGAACTGTAGTCTTTCCCTAGTTATGGTCATAGCTTCCAACCATCCCTCATTTGGACTGTCCTTCTTATGCAACCAAATTCCTCTGTCCCTCTTTCCTCCTCAGTTGTCCCCCTCTTTAGTCTGATGTATTAACCTCTTTGAAAATGTATTGCCAAATTACAAAAATTGTTATACTACCTTAAACCTTTCATTAAATTTCACATTTGTTATTTTAAAACATTTTTTAAAAAATCCAATATGAAGAAAACTAGTGGTAAAAAAAAATATGTGTATTAATTCTTCCTGGCCTGCTATGCTAATGGAAGCGTTGAAGTGGAGTGTCCTGTATTCTTTGGGCTAACTAGAGTTTTTCTTTCTCATCTCAGAAAGTTGGGGGTATCGGTAACATGTATGTCTGTGTCTGTTCAGTTTCATTCAGTGGAGTGCCAATGATGGTATGCTCAGCTGGCCAGACCTACTAAGTGACCCGACCATCATGGGAAACAGCATCCAGAAGTTGGAGAAGCACCGCAGTCAACACCTTGGGTTAGATGGCAGCTCCCATCCCAGTGAGGAGGACAATGTGATACTAGGCCTTCCCCCATCCATGCCACGCCATTTCTTAGCATCAGGTGAGCATACAAGGGTGGCAGTTAAGTTATGAAATGAGTTTGAGAAGACAACAGAGATATTTAGTGTTTAGTCTGAATTAAGTTCAGTCTTGGATTATCAGGAATATTGAAATTTGGTTGGTCAGAGGTTATTTTGCACTTTCAGAAATCATTGCATGACAAGGACACATGACATTTAATTTTCTATATTATTTATTGAGGATTTTTTTCTTTTTTTTTCTTTTACAAAAAAGTTTTATTGTAGATGAAGCAGAGATAAACAAACATTCGGATCACAGATTCAGTGACCATCAAATATAAATTGTACTGGATAAATGGAAACCAATTTAAATCATACATTAATAAAGGCATAAGTTGAAAAAAAAAATTTTTACATAGGTGCTTCATAAAAACAAGAATGAGGGAAAGAGTTGGTGAGGAACTATTAGCGAACCTTTGTGGGTCAATAATAATGTGAGTTCAAAAGAAAGTTTTGCTGCATCAACATTATGCAAAACAGGACAGGCACAAAGAGAGACCTCTCTAAGAAGTGAGACCTGTTCCAAACCCTAGGTACATAAAAGAAGTCTGGGGTACATAGATAGTACTGTAGATGTAGCACATAAAACAGGAAACTCAATCCGTAAAATATGATTAAGAACAACTTGGAAAGGAGATTAGAAAAGGACAAACCGTAGAGAGACAAGGACAAAAAAAAAAAAAAAAAAAACCGAGAGGGGCTCCTAGGCGATCACGGCAGAATCCATCCTCATATCGATAGAAGGGACTGGTCGAATCTCGAAGGTTGAGCTATATCCAGCCAGGGACGCCATACTTGCAAAAATTTTGTATGGGTATCCAACAATATGGCCGTCAATTTTTCATTGACCATTATGAAATTCATCCGGTTTTTGACAGCTTCAGAACTAAGAAGAGGAGTTTTCCATGCTCTCGCAATTGTCAACTTCGTTGCCACAAATAAGTGTGATGCCAGCTGCCGTTCAGAACGGAGAAGGCCCTCCAATGGTTTAAATAAAAGTGCTTCATACGGATTACGCTTAATGTCTGTGTGAAGCATAGTGCGAAGGAGGGCATACACCCTAATCCATAATCTGTTTACTTTGGGGCAAGTCCACCAGATGTGGGCCATGGTGCCCAATTGTTGGCATCCCCGAAAACAAACGGGGGAATATGTAGGTATAAAAGTAGCTAGACGGGCAGGCGTATAGTACCATCGGTAAAGAATTTTATAGGCATTTTCAAGGATAAGGACATTCCTGGAACACTTAGATAGTGCTTGGGTCATGGTCTGCCAATCCTGTTGGTCCAAAGCCCCCCCTAATTCAGACTGCCAACGCTGATGATAGGAACCAACCGGAGGTGTTCTATAAGATATAATGGAAGAGTAAATCAAAGAGATCAAACCCGGGGCATGAGGTCTGTGTCTGCACTGACTTTTAAAGGGGGACAAACTATAAGGTCCTGGATGCGTGCGTATTAATGTATTGATAATTTATTGAGGATTTTTAAACAGTACTTTATCAAAGTACGGTTGAAGACAACAAGTTTCTGGACTAGGAAAATACGCAGACACATGACATTTAAAAGGTCAATGTTAATGCTTGGAACTTAAAGTGAACTTGTGCGTGCTTTAAGTCTCTCTAGATGGAAGCTTACACAGGGGTCAAGACTCTCTTCCTGCCCCTTTTTGACAGTGTTCAGGGCTAGAAACTGTCAGCTCAGGAATCCAGCACTGCATGGTGGATGGAAGGGGCGACAGTCACATTCTCTCTATGCCTGGCAATACTAGCTATTTCTATTAGTACCAGACAGATGGAGCAGTGGGGGGGTTGAGGGAAGGAAGACCCCTCTGTATTTCTAACTGCAGTCAGGCTGCAGACACAGTGATATATACAGTATTCTTTTATTTTTAATTCTTAAAAGCTTGAGTAAGGATTAAAATATCCTGGAGATTTGGATTGCTGCCTTTGCACACAAGCAGCGGCCGGGGTCTCCAGTGGTCTGATTCACCCTTCCAATCAACTTCGCTCTAGCTCTCTGAGCTTTGACATCACTCGGACGAGTGTTTAGGGGTCCATGTTAGACTGCTGGAGACCTGAACCACTGCTTGTATGTGAGCGCAGCAGTTTAACTTTCCAAGTTGCTGCCAAAATAGGGTATTTTAAATGTTGCTGCAGATCTTAGATAAATAAAAAAAAAAAAACGGAAAGAGCTGATGATTAGTATAACAGAAACAAGGGCTAAATCTTAACCAGTCATTTCTTTTATTTTGTAAAGATGGAGCCAGCAGCATGTCTCTCCCCCAAAACCTGCGGAGGATCTCCCGTACCGAGACAGATCTCTTGTCAGACCTGTGAGTACATTTGTGAGGCCAGTCAACTTATTGCATTTACAATGTACTGTGTTCTGTTTTCTGATGGATAATGCCCTGTAGGGTTTAGGCTGCCATTCCCTTATCGAGTTAAAGTGCAATATTTAGTCTGAAAAGCGCAACAAATCTTTATGACAACATCTATGTAGCCAGCTGTAATGCCTATGAAATGTGTTGGCCTTGGACCCTTTGTTTCTTGGGTAATTTTTACAATAAAGCATTGTTGCCCAAATGCCGGGGGCATGAGAGGTGAATGATGTCATTTCTCTAAGCTAAAGGAACAGAGTCAAATTCTGCTTAGAACAAGATATAAACTTGTTTATGGAAATTTAACGTGTTTATAACATCTAGTATGTCACATTAGAAGATAGAAACCTGTTTAAAGACACTGATTGCTTGAGAAGTTAGAAATCCTTAAGTTTGGGGTAGATGAGAAGAAGTTTAGGGTAGATAAGAAGCAAAAGTGTGACTCTTCAGATAACAAATATGGTGGTTGAACGTGACTCTTATCCTCGTGGAACTCTTGTGCTAGCTCCTCCTATGGTGGGAGTGGCGCCCGTCCACTATTGGACAGCTTCCAGAAAAATGGTTTAAAAGCCAGGAGTCCAGGTGGGACTGGTAGGAAGCTTCCCCAGAGGATGCTCTGACGCTGGGATTTTTACTAAGGCTATATGTGCTTATCGATCGGTCGCACTTTAGGCTTCCCTGTGACCCCCTGGACAGTTTGGTTCCGATGGGATTTGTTCCTTCCAGCTTCTAACATAGCTTTGGTAATGTATTAACCTCCCTAGCAGTATTCCCAAGTGTAGCTCGGGGTAAAGTTTCAGTACCACAAGCGGTAACCCCGAGCTACACTCGGGCTTACTATGCGGCGTTGCTCCGGGATCTGTTCTTCTCTTACCTTGTCCAGCGCTCCCGCGATGTCCCTCCTGCAGTGTCCCCTGTGCGGATGCCGGCATCTGTCTTCTGGGTTCCGTCCCCTGCGACGTCGGGACGTACGGGGGGACGGAGCGGTGGGAAATTTGAAAATGACAAAAAGTGACATTCACTCAATACACTAAAATCACATAGTATAACATTCCTGTTTCAAACCATTTCACATACATTTTGTCCCGAGGGCTTTGTCCTGCGCCCTGCCTGCATTTTTACTGTTCTTTCTGCCTGGAAACTGAGAAACGTCCGTGGTGTCCAAAAATCAGTTTTAGACCGCCTAGAGAACAGCGATAGTAAATAAGAACCACTTGCAGAATTGAGTGATAATGATTCGTGGGGAAATTCGTCATCAGACACTGAAAACGATTTTGCGACTTTGCTCAGTGATGTGCGAACTTGGCGCTATATTTCAAATTTAAGTGTTTTTGGTTTGATTATATTATTGAATTAAATTTATTATTATTATTTTTTATGATTATTTATTATGTTATAATTTATGATTTCGTGTTTCAAATTTTAACATACCCAGGATATTTACTAGACTCTTGCTCGGACAGATATCAGTGAGTTATTCCTAAAAATTACAGGCCTACAATAAAAAAATACATATTTCCATGCAAAAAAATGTACCGCTTTGAGCACAGAAATATGGACATAATCATACTGCTAGGGAGGTTAATTCTATGCTGTGACGCTGTCAAATGATGTGTCTATTTCATGCTGCAATGCTCACATTATTATTGGTGTGTGTTTATTATGCAGATTATGATGACTATAAGATATATCCTCCTGTGTGTCGTGTGATAATAAAAGTGGAGGTTTTGACAGTGCAAGAATATTACAGTTGGATTCTGTTATTTCTTGGAGTGCTGGGTGAATGCTATGATGTGCCAGGGCAGGTGTTCATTTGGTAAATGGTCTTTCACATGTGTAGAATATGTAATGGTATAAATGCTGATTAAAAGTACCTGTGTGTGACTACCTATTGATTGTGTGCGTGTATATGACTTGCTTTTAGTTATTGCACCCAGCATTTGCCGTTACACCAGTTTAAAGTGCATGTAAAACGTTAATATTTTTCTGTTGGATGTAGTAGGTAATGGTTATAGTTACATAGTAAGTCTGGCTGAAAAAAGACAAAAGTTCATCCAGTGCAACCATTTAAAAAAAAAAAAAAAAAAAAAAGTTATAATCCTCTACCCACGGTTGATCCAAAGGAAGGCAAAAAAACCCAGCAAAGCATGATCCAATTTGCTCCTGCAGGGGAAAAAAATTATTTCCTGATCCCCCGAGAGGCAATCTGATATTCCCTGGATCACCTTATTTATTTTTTGGGGGTTTTTTTTTGCATGTTAGTTTTTCCTATGTTGCATTAAGGAGATTATCCTTCATTTTCTGTCTCAAAACAGAACAAATTAGAACAAAAGGGAAATCCTCTTCTGTGCAGTTTTCATTGAACAGGTGTCCCCATTAAGGATTTCACCTATATTCTTGTCCGGTGACCACATAACAATTTGGGATTTTCTCACACTTTTTTCTTGGTGATGACAGTTATCAAAGCAAACAGAGAGTCAATCTTCCCACCAGAGACACAGATGGCAATTATAAAAAAAAACATATTGGGCTTGAGGTCTGAGCCCCTCTCCACTACATCAAAAAAAAAAAAAAAATTATGTTGCATTTCAAATACACCAAGTGACCTTTTGCAAATGGAAGGTCTGTTTTTTTTTTTTTTTTTTTTTTTGCCAGCCAATTGTAAACCCTCTCCCCCCAAAAAAAACAGCTCATTTCAGCCGCAGACGCCAATGCTTCTGGGGAGGAATGGTTAATGTCACTGTGCATCCTGGCAATTTGGAAGCTTGAACCTCAATCAAGAATGCACTCAAGCTGATTCCTTTTTTTCACACGATTTCGAGCTTGCTACTTTGCCAGGGACACGGTGATATCATCCATTCCCCCCTGTGTTTACAAATAGGGGCAGGGGGCTAGCAATTTCCATGGAAGTTGTGCTTCAAGGAACAGTTTCTGGCCCTTTTTATGACTTTTTTTTCCAGATGTATTTTATAGGACAGTAAAGTGATGGGTGGGGCAGCACAGTGGCTAAGTGGTTAGCACTTCCGCCTGGCAGCACTGGGGTCGTTGGTTCGGGTCCCAACCATGGCATTACCTGCACAGACTTTGCATGTTCTCCCTGTGCCTGCGTGGGTTTCCTCCGATAGGTTAATTGGCTGCTGTCTGAATTGGCCCTATTATATGTATGTATGAATGTGAGTTAGGGACCTTAGATTGTACACCCCTTGAGGGTTAGGGACCTTAGATTGTACACCCCTTGAGGGTCAGGGACTGATGTGAATGTACAATATATATGTAAAGGGATGCATAAATGGACAACGTTCTATAACTAACTGTAATCAATAAATAAACGTCTGTTGGGATTTATTACCATCTTTGTCTCCATCTTTGTGATGTAGGAGCGCTGCACCTTATGCAGATGTGTTGTAGCGTACTGGGTGGTTTACAGTCCTAGAGGCTGCTCACCAGCAACTGGTGGGGTCTTCTGGACCCCCAGCGGAGTTTATTGAAAAGGTCTATACAAGCTGGTGTGATGCTCCCATCCTTTCAAATCTTTGTTCCCAAGGAAGACTTCCCTTTACTTCCTGTTCACCTGTCACTGTTCAAGGAAGCGAAAAGCTCAACTGAGACATAAAAAGCAATAAGCACCAGGGGTATTATATTCTTAAAGAGAAAATGTTTCAACTGGAATAAAGATGATATGTTGAGAAAGGAAAGGCTAACACTGCTGATTATTTTGACAGGTCAAACCCTTTTGCGGATAAAACAGAAACCATAATGTTGGATAAATTAAATGAAAAAGGCCAAACAATAACTGGACCTCCCAGAGAAGTCAAATCCATCAAGTCAAACAGGACAGGTATATATGATTTTAAAGTATAAATAAAAAATTACTGGTAATCTCTAAAAAAGCTAACAACACCCAACAGAGATGTGCACTTATGGATATTTTACATACTGGAGAAGCATTTTTTTTCTATAATATCAACCATTTAAAGCTAAAAGAGATGTTGACGTGGAATTAAAGCTGAAGTTTAATTGCCTATCACAACTGCAGGGTCTACCACTTTGCTGCTTTTTATCCCAGTGCCAGTCCTCATGCACACGGGACGTTTTTACAGCGGCAGTTTTTGGCTTTTGACGTTTTTTTCTACAGCCAGTAACCCCCCAGCATGTTATCCTATGTGTCCATCTCCAGCATGTTATCCTATGTGTCCATCCCCGGCATGTTATCCTATGTGTCCATCTCCAGCATGTTATCCTATGTGTCCATCCCCAGCATGTTATCCTATGTGTCCATCCCCAGCATGTTATCCTATGTGTCCATTCCCGGCGTGTTATCCTATGTGTCCATCCCCAGCATGTTATCCTATGTGTCCATTCCCAGCGTGTTATCCTATGTGTCCATCCCCAGCATGTTATCCTATGTGTCCATCCCCAGCATGTTATCCTATGTGTCCATCCCCGGCATGTTATCCTATGTGTCCATCCCCAGCATGTTATCCTATGTGTCCATCCCCGGCATGTTATCCTATGTGTCCATCCCCAGCATGTTATCCTATGTGTCCATCCCCAGCATGTTATCCTACGTGTCCATCCCCGGCGTGTTATCCTATATGTCCATCCCCAGCATGTTATCCTATGTGTCCATCCCCGGCATGTTATCCTATGTGTCCATCCCCGGCATGTTATCCTATGTGTCCATGCACACATAGGCTGTAATCAACGTTTGGCACCCCATTATCTGTCTATCAACTTACTACCCCCCCCCCCCCCCCCCGTAACCGCCACTCCTCAAATTTTGGTCTCCTGTGTGTCCTCCCTACTCACCTACACTCAGTGGGAGACAGAACCTTCTCCTGCTATGCTCCAAAACTCTGGAATTCACTTCCAGGGAACATCAGAGAGTCTTCTCTAAACTCATTCAAATCATATCTAAAAACTTTTTTCTTTAGACAAGCTTTCATTTAAAGTGTCACTAATCCCAGCATTCACTATATCTGTTCTCCCCGGACCCTGCATTCACTATATCTGGTCTCCCCGGACCCTGCATTCACTATATCTGGTCTCCCCAGACCCTGCATTCACTATATCTGGTCTCCCCCAGACCCTGCATTCACTATATCTGGTCTCCCCGGACCCTGCATTCACTATATCTGGTCTCCCCAGACCCTGCATTCACTATATCCGCTCTCCCCAGACCCTGCATTCACTATATCCGGTCTCCCCGGACCCTGCATTCACTATATCTGCTCTCCCCAGACCCTGCATTCACTATATCTGCTCTCCCCGGACCCTGCATTCACTATATCCGCTCTCCCCAGACCCAGCATTCACTATATCAGGTCTCCCCGGACCCTGTATTCACTATATCTGGTCTCCCCGGACCCTGCATTCACTAAATCTGGTCTCCCCGGACCCTGCGTTCACTATATCTGGTCTCCCCGGACCCTGCATTCACTATATCTGGTCTCCCCGGACCCTGCATTCACTATATCTGGTCTCCCCGGACCCTGCGTTCACTATATCTGGTCTCCCCGGACCCTGCATTCACTATATCAGGTCTCCCCGGACCCTGCGTTCACTAAATCTGGTCTCCCCGGACCCTGCGTTCACTATATCTGGTCTCCCAGGACCCTGCATTCACTATATCTGGTCTCCCCGGACCCTGCATTTACTATATCCGGTCTCCCCCGGACCCTGTATTCACTATATCAGGACTCCCCGGACCCTGCATTCACTAAATCTGGTCTCCCCGGACCCTGCATTCACTATATCTGGTCTCCCCAGACCCTGCATTCACTATATCTGGTCTCCCCCCGGACCCTGCATTCACTAAATATGGTCTCCCCGGACCCTGCATTCACTAAATCTGGTCTCCCCGGACCCTGCGTTCACTATATCTGGTCTCCCGGACCCTGCACTCACTATATCAGGTCTCCCCGGACCCTGCATTCACTAAATCTGGTCTCCCCGGACCCTGCATTCACTATATCTGGTCTCCCCGGACCCTGCATTCACTAAATCTGGTCTCCCCAGACCCTGCATTCACTATATCTGGTCTCCCCGGACCCTGCATTCACTATATCTGGTCTCCCCCGGACCTGCGTTCACTATATCTGGTCTCCCCGGACCCTGCGTTCACTATATCTGGTCTCCCCCATTCACTATAAAAGGTCTCCCCCGGACCCTGCATTCACTAAATCTGGTCTCCCCGGACCCTGCATTCACTATATCTGGTCTCCCCGGACCCTGCATTCACTATATCTGGTCTCCCCAGACCCTGCATTCACTATATCTGGTCTCCCCGGACCCTGCATTCACTAAATCTGGTCTCCCCGGACCCTGCATTCACTAAATCTGGTCTCCCCCCCGGACCCTGCGTTCACTATATCTGGTCTCCCCGGACCCTGCACTCACTATATCAGGTCTCCCCGGACCCTGCATTCACTAAATCTGGTCTCCCCGGACCCTGCATTCACTATATCTGGTCTCCCCGGACCCTGCATTCACTAAATCTGGTCTCCCCAGACCCTGCATTCACTATATCTGGTCTCCCCGGACCCTGCATTCACTATATCTGGTCTCCCCGGACCTGCGTTCACTATATCTGGTCTCCCCGGACCCTGCGTTCACTATATCTGGTCTCCCCCATTCACTATAAAAAAGTCTCCCCGGACCCTGCATTCACTAAATCTGGTCTCCCCGGACCCTGCGTTCACTATATCTGGTCTCCCAGGACCCTGCATTCACTATATCTGGTCTCCCCGGACCCTGCATTCACTATATCCGGTCTCCCCGGACCCTGTATTCACTATATCAGGACTCCCCGGACCCTGCATTCACTAAATCTGTGCTCCCCGGACCCTGCGTTCACTATATCTGGTCTCCCGGACCCTGCACTCACTATATCAGGTCTCCCCGGACCCTGCATTCACTAAATCTGGTATCCCCGGACCCTGCATTCACTATATCTGGTCTCCCCGGACCCTGCATTCACTATATCTGGTTTCCCTGGACCCTGCATTCACTAAATCTGGTCTCCCCGGACCCTGCGTTCACTATATCTGGTCTCCCGGACCCTGCACTCACTATATCAGGTCTCCCCGGACCCTGCATTCACTAAATCTGGTCTCCTTGGACCCTGCATTCACTATATCTGGTCTCCCCGGACCCTGCATTCACTATATCTGGTCTCCCCGGACCCTGCATTCACTATATCTGGTCTCCCCGGACCCTGCATTCACTATATCTGGTCTCCCCGGACCCTGCATTCACTATATCCGGTCTCCCACAGTACACAGAACATGGAAATGCAATTATTTCAGGAAATATAAACTGCTAAATAACTTTTCTCATCAGCGGTATATAGCAGTCTTGTGACTTCTATCAATATCTGGCTGAGCACTGGTTAATCTTGTAGAAGGAGTTTTCATTCTGCTCTGACTGTCCTATGAGGCTGCAGACCCTCTGTCTGGACAGTGCTGATTGGTCCTGTGCTGATCACATGAACCTTCCCAAAGAAAAAAAGAACTCTCTAGCCATACACACTAAACTGAGCATGTGCAAAGTGACTCCAAGCGCTCTGTACTATCAGCATATGGATTGGGGACAGTGAAAGAAGGGGAGGATCAGAGAAGTCAGGATCAAACAGCCTTTTAACACAATGCAGTGGATTAACCCCTTAGGTTCCACAGTGAGTATAAACAAGCGTGTTGCACTGCATATACAGACTGATTTTACTGTTGTGGATTTCGTAACATTTTAACTCTTTTTTTTCCTTTGTTTTATCCTGTGTATTTCTTGTGTTTTCTTTGTAAAGCGTTTTTAGAGGCTGTCTTTAAAACGCTATATAAAATTAAAGTTTTATTATTATTAAAGCTGTTTAGTAGAAGGTAACCTGTAGTTTAATCTTTTGTCCAGTAAGGAAATTTACAGCACTGGTTACAATCTTCCATTGTTTTCTTTCTCTCCTACAGTTATAACAGATGCCTTCCAGAGACGTGGAACTATGTTACCCTCTTGGTGCATCCGTGTAGCTCACGTTCTTAGCTGCTTTCTCCTCTTCTGCTGTTTTGGGGTGTCTGTGTGGATTGGGGTGGGCTTCACCTCCAGCGTAGGCCTTATGTGGTTAATATCTGGAATATTCAGCTTCCTCTTTTCATTCTTTGTCCTGGAACCTTTGAAGGTGAGAACTGAGTTTTTGGGGTTTTTCGTACTAATAATTGTTACTGCTTACTTCAGCAAGACAAGACATCTTAGGGCTTCATGTACACGGGACGTTTGGAAAACTCTTCTGAACGATGGAAACTGCTGGAAAATGTAGGTTAAAAAACGTCTGTTTAGCCGCGTTTGCATACCGCGTTTATGCGTGTTTGCGTTTAAAAGCGTTTTTTTAAGATAACCTCAGGAGACCTTCCAAAATGCCCAGAATGCACTGAGGAACAGTAAAACATTAACCACTTCCTGTCCGGACACTTTTACCCCCTTCCTGTCCAGGGCAATTTTTTCAGCGCTATCACACTTTGAATGACAATTGCGCGGTCATGCAACACTGTACCCATATGAATTTTTTACCATTTTTTTGAGACAGATAAAGCTTTATTTTGGTGGTATTTATTCACCGCTGGGATATTTATTTTTTTTGCTATTTAAATGAAATGTCCAAAAATTTTGAAAAAAAGTGTTTTTTTTCTTATAAAATTTTGCAAATAAAAAATCTTTCATCATAAATATTGGCCAAAATGTATTCCGTTATATTTTTAGAAAAAAAAAATAAGCCAAATTAGTTTATAACCAAAAATTATAATTTTTAAACATTTTTTTTTAAATATTATTATTATTTATGTTTTTTTTTTTTTTTTTTTTTTTTTTTTACATACTGTACAGCCATAAAGGCTGTAAAAACAATCATTTCTCCTTCTCTCTGGCTGCATTCTTGCAGCCATTGAGAACTACTGTGTGAGCTGTGATTGGTCATAGCTTGTCACATGGTACAAGGCTGTTGTGAATAGCCTTGTACCATGTGACCTCTGTGATCATTCAGATTTTTCACACGTAGTAAGCAATGATGTCAGAAGTGACATCTTGCTTACTACTCTGCATGTGATCACTGATTGGCCAATCAGTGATCACATGATCGGGACCTCACACAGAGGTCCCATCTGACGATCAGTGTTCCACTGTGTCCGGAGGACACAGCGGGAACCGGATCGCATTGCTGGGCGCTCCCAGGGAGCACGCGCAAGCAGGGTGCGGGAAGGCCATTTATAAACGGCCACCCAATTCTGCACTGCCACCATCCGGCCATTTATTTATTTATTTATTTATTTTTTACATACTGTCACCCTAGCAGTACAGTGTCACCATGGTGACACTGTACTACTTGTGGGGGGTGATGAAGATTTTGGGTTTTTTTTTTTACAGTGATTGCTTTTACACCCATATAGAATGTAAAAGCAATCATTTCTCTCTCTCTCTGTCTGCATTCTTGCAGCCATTGAGAAATACTGAGTGAGCTGTGATTGGTCACACCTTGTCTCATGATACAAGGCTGTTGTGAATAGCCTTGTACCATGTGACCTCTGTGATCATTCACACATTTCACACGTAGTAAGCAATGATGTCACAAGTGACATCTTGCTTACTACTTTGCATGTGATCACTGATTGGCCAATCAGTGATCACATGATCGGGACCGAGGTCCCGTCTGACGATCGGTGTTTCACTGTGTCCGGAGGACACAGCGGGCACCGGATCGCGGTGGAGCGCGCACAGCTAGAAAAGGCGGGTGCCGTTTATGAACAGCAGGCGGACGGCAAGAGGTTAACTATTTCAGACATTTTGAGAGGAATAGAGAGAGCAGAAGCAGAGAGAGCAGTATGTGTTGAGATGACCTGTCTTTTCTGGTTGTATTCACTATGGATCCCATCATGAGCATAATGCGGCACGTTCTAACATTTTTTCTTTCGCGCAAAACCTGGAACTGACTGCGCTGGTGTACCGGGTCCATGTGAATACATGGAAAACACTTTGCATGCATTTCTGATTATGAAAAAAGGCTCCGGACAGCATCTGGACATGGAACAGTTAAAAAACGCTTCTAAACGCAAACGCTTATAAACACGGTTAGCCACATTTACAAGCATTTGGCGTTTGAAACGCCACTAAAATCCACTCCTGAGCGCAACTTTGGTGCGTTCAAATAAACGAGTGTAAACTCAACTGCCTGTAAAGGACGATGTGTACATGGACACATAGGGAAACATTAGGGAGAGTTCAGGGGCTGCTGAAAAAAAAAAACCGCAGAAAAGCTCCTAAACGTGAGTTTATCAGCTGCAGTGTACATGGAGCCTTTACAGAAACAAATAAAGGAAAAAGAAAAATGATGCACTATATCCAAACAAGGAAGAATAACCAGTTTCACTAGTCAGAGACAACAATGTTCCAGCATATTAGCAGATATAGAACAGTAAATAAAGAGAACATGTATATAGCGTGTAAGAGAGTAGTTATAACTGGATCAGAGTTCGCGATCCGTCTGGTTGATACCCCCAGACATAAAGAGCCATTAGTGCTATGCGTTATGTAAACCTATGATTACAACACCTATCCAGAATATTATTATTAATATTATTATTATTATACAGTATTTATAAAGCACCAATAGTTCGCTCAGCGCTGTACATTACAAAGGGGGAAAGAACATGTGACAGAACAATACCAATACAATGCAAAACATGAGGGGATTGAGGGCCCTGCTCTTTGGAGCTTACAATCTAGGAGGGAGGGGATGGTGGCACAGGAGGAGAAGCTGTGGGGGATGGAGTGGTAGGAAGAGTGGAGGAGGTCGGTCAAGTTAGCAGGGGGTGGGGTAGGCTTCCCTGAAGAGATGGGTTTTTTCAGGGTGCGCCTAAAGGAGAGGAGAGTAGGTGATAATCTGATGGGTTGGGGCAGGGAGTTCCAGAGGATGGGTGACACCCTGGAGAAGTCCTGGAGGCGGGCATGGGAGGAGGAGACCAGGGAACTAGAGAGAAGGAGGTCTTGTGAGGAGCGGAGTGTGCGTGTTGGGTGGTACTTGGATATTAGGTCAGTGATGTAGTTCGGAGCAGTATGGTGGACAGCTTTGTACGTCAGTGTTAGGATTTTGAATTTGATCCGTTGCGCAATCGGAAGCCAGTGGAGGGATTGGCAGAGGGGGGTGGCGGAGACGGAGCGGTTGGAAAGGTGAATGAGTCTGGCAGCCGTATTCAGGATCGGCTGAAGAATACATCACATTTTTTCAGAATAAGACTTAGAAAGAAAGGGAGCCCGACTAAGAACATCATTCGGTAGCCCAGCCATGAGACACTAGTCCTTCAGCTGGCTATGGGTCATTCAACCTATGCCATAGAGAATATGGAGAGCTCTTAGTCAGGGAAGAGCAGACTGTAAGAGACAACGAAGAGGAAAGAAAAAAATGAGGAAAATAGGGAGGAGGAAAAAAAAGGGGGTGGGGGGGTGGTAATGGGGTTGCTGGGAGTACCCCTGCCCAGACCATAGAGGGAAAGTGGGAGGGGGTAAGGGTGGTAGAGTAAAGGAAATGAATAAAATAAAAGTGTTGCACTGCTAACAAGAGACAATAAATATATGAACAGACTCAAACATGACTAATAGTCCCAAAAGATGAGAAAAATACTTTCTTCAAATTATCAGAAAGAGTGGAACATCTTCCTGCTGGTGATTGCATCCAAATTCCCAGTGCTGTAAGTCCTCAATGTACGTGAACCACTACAGTGAACATATACATCCAGATGGACTCTCACCTTCTCACATGGATCTACAGTGGGGATCGAAAGTTTGGGCACCCCAGCTAAAAATTTGTATTAGTGTGCATAAAGAAGCCAAGGAAAGATGGAAAAATCTCCAAAAGGCATCAAATTACAGATTAGACATTCTTATATTATGTCAACAAAAGTTAGATTTTATTTCCATCATTTACACTTTCAAAATAACAGAAAACAAAAAAATGGCGTCTGCAAAAGTTTGGGCACCCTGCAGAATTTATAGCATGCACTGCCCCCCCTTGCAAAGCTGAGACCTGCCAGTGTCATGGATTGTTCTCAATCATCGTCTGGGAAGACCAGGTGATGTCAATCTCAAAGGTTTTAAATGCCCAGACTCATCTGACCTTGCCCCAACAATCAGCACCATGGGTTCTTCTAAGCAGTTGTCTAGAAAACTGAAACTGAAAATAGTTGACGCTCACAAAGCTGGAGAAGGCTATAAGAAGATAGCAAAGCGTTTTCAGATGTCAATATCCTCTGTTCGGAATGTAATTAAGAAATGGCAGTCATGAGGAACAGTGGAAGTTAAAGCAAGATCTGGAAGACCAAGAAAAAATATCAGACAGAACAGCTCGCAGGATTGTGAGAAAAAAAATTCAAAACCCACGTTTGACTGCACGATCCTTCCAGAAAGATCTGGCAGACACTGGAGTTGTGGTACACTATTCCACTATAAAGAGATACTTGTACACATATGGTCTTCATGGAAGAGTCATCAGAAGAAAACCTCTTCTACGTCCTCACCACAAAAATCATCGTTTGAACTTTGCAAATGAACATATAGACAAGCCTGATGCATTTTGGAAACAAGTTCTGTGGACCGATGAGGTTAAAATTGAACTTTTTGGCCGGAATGAGCAAAGGTACCTTTGGAGAAGAAGGGGCACAGAATTTAATGAAAAGAACCTCTGTCCAACTGTTAAGCATGGGGTTGGATCAATCATGCTTTGGGGTTGTGTTGCAGCCAGTGGCACAGGGAACATCTCACGAGTAGAAGGAAAAATGGATTCAATAAAATTTCAGCAAATTTTGGATAGTAACTTGATGCCATCTGTGAAAAAGCTGAAGTTAAAGAGAGGATGGCTTCTACAAATGGATAATGATCCTAAACATACCTCGAAATCCACGGGGGATTACATCAAGAGGCGTAAACTGAAGGTTTTGCCATGGCCTTCACAATCTCCTGACCTCAGCATAATTGAAAATCTATGGATAGACCTTAAAAGAGCAGTGCGTGACAGACAGCCCAGAAATCTCAAAGAACTGGAAGACTTTTGTAAGGAAGAATGGGCAAAGATACATCAAACAAGAATTGAAAGACTCTTGGCTGGCTACAAAAAGCGTTTACAAGCTGTGATACTTGCCAAAGGGAGCAGTACAAGATATTAACTCTGCAGGGTGCCCAAACTTTTGCAGACGCTATTTTTTTGTTTTCTGTTATTTTGAAAGTGTAAATGATGGAAATAAAATCTAACTTTTGTTGACATATTATAAGAATGTCTAATCTGTAATTTGATGCCTTTTGGAGATTTTTCCATCTTTCCTTGGCTTCTTTATGCACATTAATACAAATTTTTAGCTGGGGTGCCCAAACTTTCGATCCCCACTGTATGTGGACACAGGTCAGAAAAGCATCTCCCCTATAAGTGGGGGTAATACATACCTTGCTCCTCTGTGGGCAATCTTCCTCTTATGAATCACCGCTGAACCTTCCAAATGGCACCCGATATCAGTACAGCCAGCTCTGTGGATATAGCTCGACAACCACAAAGAAGACCATAGTGCAGTATGCTTCTTTAAAATGGCATGTAATTTATTTAGGTATATACACTCAAATGGTAACTACATCAAAAACGCAATAAAACAACGATCAAAGGAGAGCAAAGTCCTGCCTGTCAGATCGGTGTTGAAGCCCTGACGTCACCCGACTCCTCCCCAAGCTGGGACTCTGAGGGATGGATTGGATCATAGTTACATAGTTGTTCTGGCTGAAAAAAGACAGTTCAACCAAAAAAAAAAAAAAAAGGTTATAATCCTACACCCACAGTTGATCCAGAGGAAGGCAAAAAAACCCAGCAAAGCACGATCCAATTTGCTCCTGCTGGGAAAAAAAATTCATTTCTGATCAATATAATTCCCCTGGTAATGCTACTTATAATCCGTCTTTCTTGGATTTCTCTTAAGGGACAAAAGAGGAAATATGTGTTGTAGTCGTTGGAGTATTGGAAGTCGTGCCAATAGTACCGTGTTTTGCAGTGTTGTTCCTCCTTCCTTCTTATAGCAGCCATTACACCTTCCATATCATCAATCTCCTTCACCACAGCAATCCACTGGCCCACTGTTGGGGGGGGGGGGGGTCTGTGCATTTCCATTTGACACATAATTTTGCTGCATTCAGTAAATGTATCAAAAGCAATTTCTTATATTTACATGGAGAAAGAGGGGTTAGATGGAGTAGACGTGTTTCTGGCTTGTCGTCCAAGCATATATCAGTCAACTTATAGATCGCTTCTCGACTCTAGTCCCAAAAAGGGCGAATACTTGGACAAGTCCAGAAAATATTTAGCATGGTGTAGAATTGTGTCCATTCACACACGGAGCCACCTCCCCCTCTCTCTTCTAATTGGCTCACTGACTGTCATTGACAAGTCTAGAAAATATTTAGCATGGTGTAGAATGGTGTCCATTTAAACACGGAGCCACCTCCCCCTCTATCTTCTAATTGGCTCACTGACTTATTGACAAGTCCAGAAAATATTTAGAATGGTGTCCATTCACACACGGAGCCACCTCCCCCTCTCTCTTCTAATTGGCTCACTGACTGTCATTGACAAGTCCAGAAAATATTTAGCATGGTGTAGAATGGTGTCCATTCACACACGGAGTCACCTCCCCCTCTCCCTTCTAATTGGCTCACTGACTGTTATTGACAAGTCCAGAAAATATTTAGCATGGTCTAGAATGGTGTCCATTCACACACGGAGCCACCTCCCTCTCTCCCTTCTAATTGGCTCACTGACTTATTGACAAGTCCAGAAAATATTTAGCATGGCGTAGAATGGTGTCCATTCACACACGGAGCCACCTCCCTCTTTCCCTTCTAATTGGCTCACTGACTGTTATTGAGCCAATGTCTCAGCCAATGAGGAGAGGGAGTGCCGGGATAGCCGAGACTCCAGTACACATCGCTGGATCGAGAGGGTGCTTAGGTGAGTATTGGGGGGGGCTGAAGGGGATGCTGCACAATAAAGATTTTTTACCTTCATCCATAGAATCCACAAAGGTAAGGAACCTTCAGCCTTTACAACCATTTTAAGTTCTAAGGAAAGGAGAAGAGTTGAGCGGAGTTCTGCTGATTTGTAAGAAGGCACAACTTGCAAAACGTGTCTCGTTCCAAACATGACGTGGCTTTTATTGTCCATTATGTCCGACTGACAATGTTTTGAACAAAGTAGCTGGTTGGCTTTGAACTTTGGCCATGAGGGATCATATCTTTTGGAATTCTGGGAAAGGAATGGGGTCCATGGCTTGAGGATGGAAAAGAGGTCTGTCAGGCGTCCCCACCACACAGCATCAGTCCGTTTATGTAAGCACCATTAAAAAAGGTGTTCTAAGAGAATATATATCAAAAGGCTTGGGCTAGTAGGCACTTTTTATATAGTGTTTTAGGCTACTTTCCATTCTGTCAGTACTCGGGGTGTGGGTTTGAGTTGTGCTCCTCAGTTGGTATTATTAATTGCTGTATTTGAGAGTGTTTTCAGTGTTCCCAAGTAATAGCATGATATTTTGAATTCACGACAGGTGTTGGCTGAAGCCCTCTACTTTGCTTTGGTGGTGAAGCGTTTGCACCCTGAGGAGGAGGACACTCTTGTGGAGTGCCCCCTGGTGGAGCAAGTCTCTGAAAGGATCACCAAGGTCCGGCCCCCGCAGGGCTTTGCTCTGTTCCAGGCCCGAGAGGAGGCTCGCAAGGTGAAACTGCTGCACAGGGTGCTAAAGGTAACCGGCTACATTTCCTGCTTGCACTCATTAGAACTTAAAGGAATTTTTTATGAATTGCGATATTGCGTAATGTCCAGATATTTCACATGCGTCCCGTCTGGTTACTACTACATATTTTTCCTCTCCACAGAACTTGGTGGTTTACATGCTCTTCTTCTTGGTAGTCCTTCTGACAAACTATGGTGATTCTTCTGTGAACTCCAGTGCTTACCTGCTGCAACGTTCAATCAGACAAGAGCTAGCGAGCCAGAGATTCTTGCAGATTAGGAGGTACTGTTCCGACACGATTGATTGAATGATTCCAATGCGATCAGTGACTGTTGATTTTATAAAAATTGTATGAAAGTGTTTGGGCACAATTTTTCTGCACTAAAAAATGTTTTGGACATCATTATTTCCTTTTTTAAAGCCCCTGACGCGTTTCGTGCTTTGCACATCATCATAGGGTGCTGGGCATTGCCGGCTGATCACTGCTTGATGGCAACCTTTCCATGAGGGATACTACACCCATTATGACTACGTCTTGGCTGAGGGATATTATATGCGCATTTCCTATGCGTGGTCGGTGAATGAGTTGACATTGCCCGACACCACTGGTTATTTGTAAGCTGAGAAGTTCAGGAGACGTTCCCATGGGATGTCCTTAGTACAGGCAACAAATGCTTATTTTTACATTCACAGATCTGAGGAGTTTTGGGCCTGGGCATCGGATGTCTTGCTGCCATATCTGGGCAACATCCAGAGGGGAAGCTATAGCAACTTGCTGGGATCTGCTCGTTTGCGCCAGATTCGGCTGAAAAAAGGTGCAGTGGCTTATTGTCTCTTGTTCTATAGTTTCTTTACCCCGTAAGATGGTAATCAGTTGTCATTTATAATGGGATAACTTTGTTTCTTGCTGTGACCCATGCATGGCCTTTCCTCTTTTATGAACTCTGCATATTCGGTCACTTGCATAATGTAGGGTGCCCATGGACCGTTGTGTTAAACCTAATAAGAAAAAGAAAGCTTTTATCCGTAAAACCCGAAGTCTGCAGCTGATCCAGAAGAAGGCAAAAACCCATCTAACGTGTGGTCCACCCTATTCTTCCAGATCCCCGAAGGCAATTGGATACTCTCCGGATCAACACTGTACAATGCCTATAACTATTAGTAGCTGTTTATTTTTTTTTAACCACTCATTTATTTTTTTTTAACCACTTGCCTACCGGGCACTTATACCCCCTTCCTGCCCAATTTTCAGCTTTCAGCGCTGTCGCACTTTGAATGACATTTGCGTGGTTATGCAACACTGTACCCATATGAAATTTTTGTCATTTTTTTCTCACAAATATAGCTTTCTTTTGGTGGTATTTACTTGCCGCTGGGGGTTTTATTTTTTTTGCGCTATAAACAAAAAAAGAGCAAAAATTTGAAAAAAAAAAAGGTTTCTTTGTTTCTATTATAAAATTTTGCAAACAGGTAATTTTTCTCCTTTACTGATGTGCATTGATGAGGCTGCACTGATGGGCACTGATAGGCAGCACTGATAGGCAGCACTAATGAGGTGGCACAGATAGGCGGCACTGATAGACGGCACTGATGATGGGTACTGATAGCACTGATAGGCACTGACTGGCGGCACTGCTGGGCACTGACTGGCAGCACTGCTGGGCTGCACTGATGGGAACTGGTGGGTGACACCGATGGGCACAGGTGGGTGGCACTGATAGGTGGAACTGATAGACGGCACTGATGATGGGTACTGATAGCACTAATAGGCACTGACTGGCGGCACTGCTGGGCACTGACTGGCGCAACTGCTGGGCACTGACTGGCACAACTGCTGGGCACTGGTGGGTGGCACTGCTGGGCTCTGGTGGGTGGCACTGCTGGGCTCTGGTGGGTGGCACTGATGGGCAGAGGTGGGTGGCACTGATTGGCACAGGTGGGTGGTACTGATGGGCACAGGTGGCTGACACTGCTGGGCACTGGTGGGTGGCACTGCTGGGCACTGGTGGGCGGCACTGCTGGGCACCGATCATCAGTGTCCTGATGATCGGTGGTGATCCCTGCTCTGACAACTGCCGGTTCTCGGCAGTACTTTCCCCACGTTCTGACAGTGTGAGGAAAGTGCAGCCTAGAACCGGCAATTGCATTTCCCTGTGCATTTCCCTGTGATCAGCGTGTCATTGGACACGGCTGATCACATGGTAAAAGGCCGCTGTGATTGGCCTTTTACCACATCACGTGATCAGCTTTGTCCGTAGGACACAGCGATCATGGAGATCATGGAGATCGCCGGGTGCGCGCCCCAGGGGAGCGCATTCTGGGAGGACGTCATATGACGCCCTCCCAGAACTGGCTGGCCTCAGTGTAGCCGTCATTCGGCTATCTGCGGTCGGCAACTGGTTAAACAATCCACTGACTCAGCATTAGTTCCTGTGAAAGGCTATTCTGTCATTTTCTCCGTTTTTACAGTAAAAAAAAAAAAACCCTTTCATTTGCGCAGGTTAAACACTTCCAGTCACAAGCGCATCCCTTTTAATGGCCTTAAACTGTGAATAAATTCTGTTTATCTTTCCTTATAGCTGAGGTCCTCCATACCCCTATGTATTCAGTCGTCCTTCCATGCACTCTTTCTGTTGCACAACATCATTTTTTAAAAATTTTTTTTTGTGAACCGGTACCTAAAAACTCAACTGCATATTCAACACGAGATCTAAAGAATTGTACAGGATCAAAAATATGCCTACCAATGAAGTTTATTATCTCAATGATTGTCATTCAGAAGATACAACTTGGTACAGACTTGTTCTTGAGATGCTGAAATGATGTCTCTAATGTTCTTCCCAGCAGCATGCAGACATGGCGCATGTCCAGAGGAGATGGAGCTCTTTGATGATGCCCGCTATGATGATAGTTGGCTAAGCAGTTCATTGCCCTCTTCCCAGTCTTGGTTGCACACTCCACCTGATAATACTGGGTAGGTTGCATCTAATGGTACTTCTCAGGTAGTAGTGTTTTTTATATGACGAATAAAATGAATATAATGTCCCTGATTCTGGATTTTATGTCTTTTAGAGCCTGGTACTGGGGTTACTTGTCCTTCTATGACAGCTCTGGGTATATTCAGCCTCTGGGTGTTACTTTAGAAGAGAACACGGCTATCATAGGGAAACTACAGCAAGATCACTGGATTGATAATCTGTAAGTAGCATGCTTTTTTTTTTTCTTGTATCTGTTCTCTTTTATAAATTCACCCCCTTCAAGAATATATTCTATGGGCTGATCTTTATGCTTGGAATAGGAATTCAGAAAAACTGTAATGTGTTACTTTGGGAGCAGTTTATCTAGGAATGATCTATAGCTGCCTTAGAAATTGGGAGTGAGCTTGGAACCATTCCCTTTAACCACTAGCCTACAGGGCACTTCTACCCCTTCCTGCCCACGCCAATTTTCAGCTTTCAGTGCAATTTTTGAATGACAATTGCGCAGTCATGCAACACTGTACCTATATGAAATTTTTATCATTTTTTTGAGACAGAAAGAGCTTTCTTTTGGTGGTATTTAATCACCTCAGGGTTTTTTATTTTTTGCTAAAGAAACCAAAAACAACTGGAAATTTAAAAAAAAAAAAAACCTTTTTCTTAGTTTCTGTTATAACATTTTGTTAATAAGTGATTTTTCTCCTTCACTGATGTGTGCTAATGAGGCTGCAGTGATGGGCACTGATAGGTGGCATTGATGAGGAGGCACTGGTAGGTGGCACTGATGGGCATTGACAGGCATCACTGATGGACACTGAAAGGCAGCACTCATATATGGCACTGATAGGCGGCACTGACTGGCACTGTTAGGTGGCACTGTTAAGCGGCACTGATAGGCAGCACTGACGGCACTGATAGGTGGCACTGATGCACACTGATAGGCAGCACTGACTGGCACTGATAGGCGGCACTGATGAGGAGGCACTGGTAGGTGGCACTAATGGGCATTGACAGGCATCACTGATGGACACTGAAAGGCAGCACTCATATATGGCACTGATAGGTGGCACTGACTGGCACTGATAGGTGGCACTGATGCACACTGATAGGCAGCACTGACTGGCACTGATAGGCTGCACTGATGAGGAGGCACTGGTAGGTGGCACTGATGGGCATTGACAGGCACCACTGATGGACGCTGAAAGGCAGCACTCATATATGGCACTGATAGGCGGCACTGACTGGCACTGTTAGGTGGCACTGTTAAGCAGCACTGATAGGCAGCACTGACGGGCACTGATGCACACTGATAGGCAGCACTGACTGGCACTGATAAGCGGCACTGATTGGCAGCACTGATAGGTTTCACTGATTGGCATTGATAGGTAGCACTGACTGTCACTGATAGGTGGCACTGAAAGGCAGCTCAGATGGGCACTGATATGTGGCATTGATGTGGCACTGATGGGCACTGGCAGGTGGCACTGCTGGGGCTACAGTGATCATCTGGGCACACTGAACGTCAGTGTCCTGATGATCAGTGTACATGTCCCCTCCGAGGAATGCATGACAGCTCGTAAGGAGAGAAATGCTTATAACCGGCATTTCCTTATTTACATGTGATCAGCTGTAATTGGACACATCTGATCACATGACCGAGCCGTCGTCTTTGGCTCTTTCTGTTGACCGGTGATCCGCTGTGTCTGAGGGACACAGCGCACCACCGATCGCCGCGCTGCACGCTCCCGGAGCCACGCACGCGCTGTTAGAGTGGGAGGACGTCCTACGACGTCCTCCCAGAATGAGAGAACCTCCTTGCGCCCGTCACATTCGTTAAATGTGTCTAGTGCTCCACTTGCTGACCGCAAAATAGGTAAATATCAAATATCCATATACACTATTTTTATATTTACCTGTCAAGATATCGGAAACTATATTTTACTTTTGGACACTAAAGGATAAGTTCACCTTTCATAACATGTTACACTCATATTCAGGGTGTAACATGTTACTGTAGGACCGGCCCCTGCACCCCCAACATTGTGACAGCTAGCGGGGGATCTTCTCTCCTGCTGCTGAGCGCTGTGGTAGTTCATTGATTCTTCCTTTCAGTGTAAAACTGCCTGCCCATATGAGATACTAGCAAACAGATTACACTGACAGCCTGCAGAAGACCTGCATGGCACCAGCAATCTGCTGATCGCTGGTGCATGGCCCCTTAAACAAAAAAATGGTTAAATGAACTTATCCTTTAATAAAGAATATCCAGAGTTGATGTGGTTTGTGAAGGGAGCAAGGGGAATTTTTTACTTCTGTGCAGTACTATCAGGAATTGTCTGTATTTATAATTTGGTTGAGTCACCTGAGCCTCCTTTTTCTGTATGCCTTTGTTGTATTCCTGCAGGACGAGGGCGCTGTTTGTTGAATTTTCACTGTACAGTCCTGGGGTTGACCTCTACTCATCAGTGATGCTCCTTTTGGAGTTCCCTCTGGCAGGTAGAACTCTTCCATCTGCTGAGATCCACGCCTTTCCATTACTGCGCCTAAGCAGCGGACCCCACCTCCTTCTGGTCATGATGGTAAGTTATCTATTGTTATATTTATCAGACAACTAGTTACATTACTGTATGGGTATACAAACCAGTAAAACTTGTTCACCAACGTCAAATCAGTGAATGCTGAATTCCAACTGGTTGCTTTGGGTTTCTGCCGTTTAGTTGATCTTTCTTTTTTTTTTTTCACAGGTCTTCCTGATGATGTTTGTGGTGTACTTTGTCCTCTCTGAGTGTCTCTTGTCATAAGGAAGGAGGGACTCCAGTACTTCACCCAATTCTGGAACTACATCCAGTGGCTGATGACCGTATTATCAGTGTGTACTGTGGTCGTGTACCTTAGTCGGGGCAGCCTAGCTGATGAGCAATGGGACCGGTACCTGAAGGACAAAGCTGCGTTCCTGAATCTCCATCAGGTTGCTTTCCTGAGCTCCACCTTCCACAGCTTGTCTGCCTCTGTCCTTTTCATTCTCTCTGTTAAGGTGAGTTCTGTCACTGTTGATTTGTTCAATATTTCCTTCTTTATCGCAGTAACCCTAGGTTCACATCTGTGCGGGTGGTGCCGCTGAGGATCCGCACGAAAAATCCGTGCAGCAGCCGCACCACCCGCACAGAGAAATGCGGACCCGCGGGCGGGTGCCAATAGTTCTAATGGCACGTCTCCCACACTGGAAAATGCAACCGTACTGGGAACTGAAGTTCCCGTGCGGGCTGCGTTTTCCAAAGAAGTGCAGGGACTTCTTCCTTGCGTGTCACAGGAGTCCATTCAAATGCCCGCACGGCCGCATAGATGTGAATCGGGGGTAACGCTGTTAAAATTGTGGCTTGTACATACAAAAATGTTCATATGCAGCAGAGTCAGCCACAATGTGAACAGGACTAATATTGCATGCAGTGCAGCTAGTTGCCTCATGCCACAGATGACAGGGATGTTGCTACGTTTTTGTATATTGATATGTAGAAGGTTCAGACTTTACAGTGACTACCAATGCAGATAAATGATTCAACCACTTACCCTCAGCAACCTGCCAGATAACATCTCTGAGGATGACACTGAGGGAACGGTAATCTACGTTCCATTACGGAATAAGGGACTTGCAACTAGGAGCCCATCACTGACAGCAGCGTTTGTCTCACGCAAATGATCAGAAACCACCCTGATCCCAATCATGTGATCACCATGACAAAAAAAAAAAATGATTGTTAGGCTCCATGTACACGGGACACTTGTGAACGTTGGAAACTGACTGCTGGAAAAAAATAGGTTAAACAACATCTGTTTAGCCGCGTTTGCGTTTAGAAGCATTTTTTTAAGATAACCTCATTAGACCTTCCAAAATGCCCAGAATGCAGTGAAAAGCAGTAAAAAATAACTATTTCAGACATTTTGAGAGAAATAAGAGAGAGTAGAAGCAGAGAGAGCAGTATGTATTGAGATGACCTTTCTTTTTTTTGTGGTGTTTGGATGTGTTCCAGCTCATTTCTGTGCAGAAATTATTACAACATAACATATTTTCTTTCATGCAATGTGGTGTACCGGGTCCATTTGAGTACTGGGAAAACGCTTGGCATGCATTTTGTATGATGAAAAAAGGCTCTGGACAGCATCTGGAAATGGAAGAGTTAAAAAAAAAAATTCCAAACGCTTATAAACGCGGTTGGCGTTTGAAACGCTGATAAAATCTACTCCTGAACGCACGTTTTCTGCGTTCAAAAAAACGACTGTAAACTCAACTGCCTGTAAATGACGATGTGTACATGGACACATAGGAAAACATTGGGGAGAGTTCAGGGGCTGCTGAAAAAAACGCAAAAAAGCTCCTAAACGTGAGTTTATCAGCTGCAGTGTACATGAACCCTTTCCAAAATCTAAAAACTGCCCTGGTCATGAATGAAATAGTCTTTACATAATCATTTTTATTCCATCCGAGCATTTTAAGAAAAAAAGCTAAACAATCCTTTCAACATATTCTGTTTTTCAGGCTGCTCAGCAGCTCAGATTCATCCGAGAGTGGTCCATGTTTGGGAAAACACTGAGTCTGTCTATAAAGGAGCTATGTGCCGCGGCTGGGGCGGTATTAGGACTGCTACTGGTGTACGCTCAACTAGGATTTCTGGTGAGTATCTGGCTTCTAGAAACATCCAATAGAATGTCTTGAACTCTAGACTTCCGCCTGGCAGTACTAGGGTCGTTTTTTCAAATCCCAACCACAGCACCACCTGCCTGGAGTTTGCACGTTCTCCCTGTGCCTGCGTGGGTTTCCTCCAGGGCACTCCAGTTACCTCCCACACTCCAAAGACATGCTGGTAGGTTATTTGGCTCCTGTCTAAATTGTCCCTAGTATGTGTATGTATGAATGTGAGTTAGGGACCTTAGATTGTACACCCCTTGAGGGTTAGGGACTGATGTGAATGTACAATATATATGTAAAGTGCTGCGTACATTGACGGCGCTTATATAAGTACCTGAAATAAATAATAAATAATAGTCTTTAGAATCTATCACATGTATTATAATAGGTTTTAATGCAATGTATTTGGCCTTTTTATAGAGATGTGATGATGCTATGGCTGTGCTTATGAATGTCTAAGGAGAGGAAGGTACAACACTGGAGTAGTTTTCTGTAATAGAAGCTGCCAAGTGGAAGTTAGGCATGGCTATTAAAATTCTGAAACCTTTTTTTCATTACACAGAAGTTAAAAAAAATAATATGCTAATAAATGTGCCTGGAGTTGGGCTTTAAGCAGTTATAGCAACAGATTTTTTCTCAAAAAATGTAAACAAAGTGAGTACAGCCTGACCATTGTAAGCACCCCTGTTAGTGTTGTAGGATTTGACCCAACCCCTGTAACTGCCACTTTTGCTAAACAGCTTAGCCTATCACAGGAAGCGATAAAATAATGGACCTACTGACAGCATAATAAAATTATGGGACTCAGAAAAACAAAAAACGGATAATAATATTGAAATACTGCATCTTATGTCATTTTTTTTATGTGGCACATATTTGAACATTAAAAATATTTATGGAGGTAAATTTGGGGAAAAAAATGTAAATTTGTATTTACTGAAAGTACACTTCTAGCAGGAAAGCGTTCTTGGCATATTAATGCATCTCATTATCCCCTCACAGCTTTTCTCTGCCTCCTGGGAGAGTTTTCACAGCTTCGGCTCCAGCGTTCTCTCACTTTTCTCCGTGGCTCGTGGTGCTTTTAGTCTGAAAGTTCCTTTTCCATATTCATCCTGCTTGCACCGCCTTTACTTTGTGAGTTTCCAGGTCTTGGAGTTATGGATCTTAGTAAAGTTCTTTGCAGCCATCTTGGTCAACAATTACCGTCAAGTTCGGCTCGACATGTTCAGACCGGCATTCGAACTCCAGGATTATGAGATGGTGGAGCTTTTTCTCAGGAGATTACGGCTATGGATGGGTGTCAGCAAGGTGAAAGAGGTACATAAAGCAAAATAGATATCATTATGCTACTTGCCTTATAGTATCTGTTTTCTAGAATACATAAAAATGTTGGGGATGTTAAAAAATGTAAAGGACCACCTTCCGATGATGCCATGTTTCTTTATACTTTTCTATTTTCTGTTCTAGTTCCGTCACAAGGTGAGGTTCGAGGGTATGGAGCCTCTTCCTTCACGTGCCTCCAGTGATACAAAGTCACTTAGAGGTTCCACTCCAAGCGCTGCTTCTGACACCTCCTCTTCTTCATCCTTTTCCACAATCTCCAGCCAACTGGACACTTTGAGTGCCATGAGCACAAGAGAGAGAGCAGAAGTTGATGCTAATATGCAGAGACTGCTGCCTGTGCTGGAAACCCTGTTGTCCCAATTTGATGTAGTCAACAGTGCCACAGAGGAGGTGTATCAAATTGAACGAAGTCTAGAAGAAGTACGGGGAAGAGTGTCCAAGAGAAGAAAACATGTAAAAACCTCAACTCAAAAAATATTATGCACCACAGAAGTGACTACAGGTCTCAACCGGAGCTTCACCTCAACACAGAGCAGAAGTTCTAAGTCAGAACCCTACCCAAGAGTCAGCAAGAACTCTCTGGCTCCACGACCATCCACAGTTTCTCAGGCACTAGAGAACAATTCAGCAAGCAAAGTCATCACAGTGGACAAGGTGGTGACGGAAGAACCAGCGCTCATTCCTATGCAGTTATCATACTCCTCTCAAACCAAACGGAGAAAGTCAGTGCGGGCCCACAACAGAGTTCACCCCAGTGTCAGTTAGTGGACACCACCAATTTGTGGGTTCTTGTTCTGTTGATCCCAGCAGTCGAAGACCGCTCCACTGAGCTTTTTCCAAATGCCCAGGAGTGTTGGGATCACTTCTGGATATAGTTCCAGATATTGATTCTGTAAATCACCTGGAGAACAGCAGGATTCAATTTAGACTCTTGAATGGCTCTCTTCTTACTGACCTTTGCACATTGAAGGTCTTTGATCCAATATTATCAGTGTTTCCAAGCTTAACATCAACAAACCTGGTTTGTCTTCCTTGGTTCAGAAGCTTTGTGCCCTGGAGGCTCTTAAAGCCCTGAATCTCACCTTCTTAAGCCCTGGTGGCTTGAAAGATTTACATATATTCCAGTGTAAGCCCTGGTGGCTTATAATTAAACCATGATAAGGTGTCCTGGTGGCACTAGGCATGAAAGTGTACTTTAAGCCCTGGTGGCTTGTTCTTTGTCAGTGGCAGCTGGCTGTCCTGGAACCTGTTTTGTTGACATTCATTAGGCTTCAGAGCTGGGAAACACTGATCTACAAGAAGCAGCCTATAACAAAGAAGCAATGAGAAGGACCAAAAAAGTACGCTGATGTCCAGCTAATTTTAGGAGAGGCTCCTTGCAACGTATTGATGGTGCTTTCAAAAGGGACCAGAGTATTTCGAAGGACATGCTGGTCAGTCCTGGGATAGTACAACAGTCCTTGAGGGTCCCTAGATTATTCAGGGTGCTGCAAGAGCTTCCATTTCCCTTTTGCACTGTAGTGATACTAAAACCTGAGCATGTGGTCAGGTAAAAAAGGGAACCAGAATTGTAATTGGCTGAGATATACAGATATGCTCTTGGAATGTGAGGTGAGGTAGACTCTCACTGTGCACTTAGAGGGCAAGAACTCTTTAAAAAAAAAAAAAAAAAAAAAAAGAGAGACTGAAGCGGTTACATAGAGGAACGTGTAATGCGTGGATAAGATTTAAACGTTCTGATTGGCAGATATGACATGGCACCTTGGTTTGCTTACCTTAACAATACATCTGAGTTTACAAGACACATCGTCAACCTCTGAGTAGGAAGCATGAATGGCCCTCTTGTCCTCCCGATCTGCAATAGAGGGTGATGTGTAAAAGTTGCACTTTTTGTCAAAAGTGTTTTTTTCTTGAAAAGCAGGGAACACCTCCCTAGTGGAAATAACAAAGCTCCTTTAAAGGATTAGTGTAACTGAACTGAATACTTTGTGCTTTCTGGTAATAGGAAAAATATGTGGGTGTGTGGTAACCCAAGGGGCGGGGCGTGTTAGTCCACAAAAGGTAGTGATATACTTGACCACACAGAAGCCACTATAGGCATTGCAGTAAAATGTATAGGAATTAAGCTAGTCAGTTTAGTGGAAACTGGCAACATGATTAGGCAACCTAGTGAGCAGACAGGTTGCACACCCATACATTTGACTTCAGGACACAAAGAGGTGGTTGACACTATGTATGTCGTCTGGTAACTTTAATAACAAAGAGGCCTGAGAACTTCTATTATGACTATAATAACCACATGGCCTTAAAGGGGGAAAGTACCACCCAACGCATCAAACTAAAATACTCAATGTAAAGGTTACATAGGAGCTTCCATTAATGGAGTACCATTTTAACATTCTTTTAAGGGTGCGAATATTACGCCTGCCTATTTCTGAATGTATTATTTTTGCCACATATACATGTTCCTTTTTTGTTTCATCCGTTTGCATGGAGCGCCTCGCACTTTAACAAATGCTTATTCACGTATAACTAGGACAGAGGTATGCAAAAAAGAGCGGTTTAGTATTTTTTAGAGGTAGTTTAGTAGAAAATACCTCCATTTTTCAAAAACCATCTCCCACTCTCAAGCAGAAGGCATGTGTGCTCTGCAGTGGGCCAACCATTTCTTAAGGTTTCAGCTTATTAAGTAGATGTTTCTGCAGTGCAATAGATGATGAACAAGGTGACTGATCTATGGTGGCTATCAACAACTAGCATGAAAAAGACCAATTTTGAGTAAGAGAGTTAGTTGTAATACTCCATCAGAGTAGGATGTGGATGGTTTGGAGCATGCAAATTGTGTTTGCTGTTAAGCAGAACATGTACTTGTAGATTAACTTGAAGGGCAAGTTAACCTTTAAATGTGAAGGGGCCCCAGTAGGTTTTATTTTTTTAAAAAACAGTGCCACTTTGAAGAATGTTGATTAATGTATTTGCCATACCTGTAGGCCATTTGTGCCCCCCATTCCACAAAGCCTGGACAGAAAACTCTCATAGTTTTTTGGCCAGCAAAGCAATACCCACATTCTGCCTTGTTGCTAATACACTACAGCCATTAGACAGTCAATTCCAGAATCACAGGAACGAACACTCTCCATTGTTTAAACGCTCGTGCATGTGCCATGCACTCCCCCCTCCAGTTGTTCAGCTGGTGCTGTGACAAGAGAATGGAGAACGATCGTTCCTCTGATGCTGGAGGCGAGCACCCAATGGCTGGAGGATCACAGGAGAAGGCAGGATGGGGGGGGAATAACATTGTTGTGCAAGGGGGAAGAGAGTGCACCATTCATGTTCTGGGCTTTGAAAGAGGGAGAGCGATCGCTCCTGTCATGCTGAGGGCAAGCGCCCAATGGCTGGAAGGTCCCAGCAACAAGGCAGGATGTGGGAATGCCACCGATGTGCAAGGGCGAAGAGAATGCACCATACATGTTCTGGGCTTTGAAAATGGGAGAGCGATCACTCCTGTCATGCTGGGGGCAAGCACCCAATGGCTGGAAGGTCCCAGCAACAAGGCAGGATGGGGGAATACCACCGGTATGCAAGAGGGAAAAAAGCACACCATGCATGCTCTGGGCTTTGAAAGTGGGAGAGCGATCACTCCTGTCATGCTGGGGGCAAGCACCCAGTGGCTGGAAGGTCCCAGCAACAAGGCAGGATGGGGGAATACCACCGATGTGCAAGGGGGAAGAGAATGCACCATGCAGTTCTGAGCTTTGAAAGTGGTAGACCGATCACTCCTATCATGCTGGGGGCAAGCAACCAATGGCTGGAAGGTCCCAGCAACAAGGCAGGATGGGGGAATACCACCGGTATGCAAGGGGGAAGAGAGCACACCATGCATGTTCTGGGCTTTGAAAGTGGGAGAGCGATCACTCCTGTCATGCTGAGGACAAGCGCCCAATGGCTGGAAGGTCCCAGCAACAAGGCAGAATGGGGGAATACCACCGATGTGCAAGAGGGAAGAGAGCCCACCATGCATGTGCTTGCCTTTGAATGAGGGAGAGCACTCGACCTGTGATACTGGGGGTGAGCACTCAACGGCTGGATCATCCGGGCAACAAGGCAGAATGGGAGAATGCTAATTCTCAAAGTTTTTTTTTTTTTTTTTAACAAACTTTAATCAAAGCTGCACAGATTTTTTCTTGTACCCACTGGGGTCCCTTTGATTGTGTAGGGAATGTCCTTGAAAAGGGGAATTTAGCCTTTAAGTTCTTAATAATCAGCTAGTGGGAGATGGTTTTACTTATTACAAAGCTCAGCTAACATTTCCTTGTTGCCAACCTGCGTGACCTAGTCTCAGGCTGGAAATTTGTATATTTTTGTAGTATTCGCTATATTTTCATAGCGTCGTAACCAATGAAGCAGTCATGTAGATAGAGGTACGGAGCACTATTATCCCTAGAGTTATTTAAATGATGTACTGTGTGCTCTTGTATATATTTATAATGTATTATACCTGAATAGGGGAATCTGCATATTGGCTTAAAGGCACAGACTAGTACTAGTATTGCCGTGGCGAGACTGGCTCCTCCTGTCTAGGTAACGTTTGCTTGGTGTTCAAGTGGATGGTGCCGTTATAATGGAGCCATCATCTACATATTTGTAAGCTAAAGCTTTCAAAAATGCAGGCTATTACTTCACTGTGAGCTAGCGATGTTGTTAAATTCCAGCTTTCTGATTGGCTGCTTTAGCTCAGGTCAGAAATTGTCATCTCCACTGTGTGTATTTGACAAAACCACTTTCATCTCACCTTGGGTGTTGTCCAGATTAATGAACTGTAGCACAGAGTTGACAAAAAAGCATTAAAACATGGCGGTCAATGAAAATTCCAATGCAACTGAAATCAAAGCAGAACTAATTGACTGCTTTGGATAGGTTGGCATAGAGCAGTGGTTCTCAACCTTCCTAATGCCGCGACCCCTTAATACAGTTCCTCATGTTGTTTTGACCCCCAACCATAAAATTATTTACTCTTTACACATTGGAAATGTGTTGTTCGATGGTCTTAGATGACCCCTGTGAAAGGGTCGTTCGACCCCCAAAGGGGTCACGACCCACAGGTTGAGAACCACTGGCATAGAGTTTGATCCCATACTGGGTAATTGCAGTTCTCTATGAAACTAGTGAAGAGATTTTTACTTCTAGCTTGGCAGGTGACCCATCAAATTCTGTTCTATCCTGATGGACAACATTAAAAAAAAAACAGGTAGGCTTGTATCATCTTAACAATGCTTACATTTTAGTGGATTTTTCCTAGGAGTAGAACGAGAAGCCCAAGTAAACTCAACTTACTGATTAACTGGTATTTTACAAGCGGTGGTGAGTAGATCCCACTTCGGAGGTCATATAGAGCTGTCAAAACCTGCCCCAAACTAAAATATTTAGTGTGGTCCCACACTTTAAACTCCACCCTGCCCTGGAAAACCAACAGGTGGATTTTAATTGTTTCCTACCAGATGCATATGTAGTTTTTCTTTCTTTAAATCAGGTTCAATGAGTTATAGAACGAGGATGTATTTGCATGTTTTATAGAGAGTACATTGGATGTAGTGAGATAATTAAAGAAAAAGTTCTGCTTAGTATAAATGTAGTACTGAAATATATGGAGAAAACTGAAGATGTAGATATTTGCTTTGAAGGGTTTCCATTTTTCTAAAAAAAACAAACAAAAAAAAAAAAAAAGCCTTTTCCTCTTTGGCTTTTAATTTTTTAGTCCAGCCTTT